CCTGGTCACACACAATCTCGTATTAAAGCTAAAAGTACACAAAAATATTTTTGTGAAACAAGAGGACAGGCTTTTAATTTACAAGCTTAATTTTTTTGGTAAGCAGTATTGTTCTCTACCTTTATGCAAATATAGCACAGTAAATTCAAATTACAGAGTGACAGAGAGATGTAGACATGAAGGAAGAGTATGGATGCTTTGGGAGTCTGGCTGTTTCTATGGCAACAGCAGGAAAATAAACTGCTGTGGTTGTTGGCTCGCCTGCTGCTGAGGGGACTGGTCAGAGGGAGTGTGTCTGTATAAAAGGCTATATGCAGTGTGTATGTGTGCACTTGTTGGTTGCTGTTAATGTGAAATCCTCCACATTGTTCTCATTTAAATTCAGCTGAAGGATTCCATGCTTCTATGCTTCTCCGGTGTCGTATGTACATTTGTACACTGTCAGAAATGTTACTATTTATACTGTGGTATAGGGCTGCAACGATTCCTCGAGTAACTCGAGTAACTCGATTACAAAAAATAATCGAGGAATTTCCTCTGCCTCGAAGCCTTGTTTAATTAAATTCAAAACTCACGTTTCGCAGGAATTCTTTTTGATGTGACACAATGTGCAACGGCGTTATTTTTTCAGTAACGGAGTAATCTAATTAATTACTTTTCCCATCGTTGCAACGCCATTACCGTTACTGAGAATGTAAAGTGGCGCGTTACTTGCGTTCCTACAATGTGGTGAATGAAGCGCAGCGGTGTCAGGCTTTCTGACAGCCACACATCAGCTGCCGGGAGAGGGCAGGGTGGTGATGATGACACCGTTGCAAATGTGATGATGATTGGCTGGGTGGGCGGATGCCCTGCTCACGCTGTCTCACTGCACGCTGTCTCACTGCACGCTGTCTCACTGCACGCTGTCTCACTGCACGCTGTCTCACTGCATGCTCTAACTGCTATAAACATAAGACAGAGACAATGGCGACGAGCCAGAGAAATTCAAAGGTAGCGAAAAACTGGAAGTACCGACACCACTTCTCGCTTACTGAAGTTAAAGGCAAGAATGTTTATGTAACATGCACTGTGCCCAGGAAAAAATACTTTATCCACGTCTGCCTCAAACAACTCAAATCTTATGAAGCACCTCACAGCAACACATGCTAAAACGCCACTTGTTGCTGCTGCTAACCCAACCTCAAGCCCAGATGCAGCTAGCGTGAGCTCCAGTGAAGGAGACGGATCCACTCCATTAAAACAAGCAAAGCTTGATTTTTTGGGTCAGTAACAGGTGGCGACTAGGGCCGAGCTGAACACACTGATTGCAAGGTATGTTGCTGAAAACATGCTACCCCTGTCCATTATTTCTATGCATATGGCCGGCTGCAATCTGTTGAGTTCAAATAAATACCAGATGTTCTGAAATACTGTATATAGTGTTTTTATTCTTCATTCAGTTATTATAAACATATTTTACGTTATAGAATTTGTTATAGAATGTAATAGCGTTATAGGACATAAAAAATAATGTCAGTTACTTTGCTGAGTAACTAATTACTTTTACAATGTGGTAACTGGAAGAGACAGAAGATGTCGAAGGTGTGGGATCATTTTAAATTAAAATTAAGGACAACATCGTGGTGTGTGTACATTTGGACAACATTTTTATGTTATTTTTGATACTTAGAAAAAATAAGTGGGAAACAATTTTATTGATTTTATTTAATTTTATGTCCCAGGAAATTAAGTGAATTTGAATGTAAGTAATTTTATTTCTTTATATTGGAAAACGATTTACTACTTTACATAATATGTATAATAATAAATAAATAAATTTTTCTTAAATAGGAAACAAACTGTTTTTATTATAAAGTGATCTGTCTTGTTTTCTATTGTATATTTAAAATTGGACTTTAATTCAGCAAAAGTATGTTTTATCCGATTACTCGATTAATCGATAGAGTAAATATTCGATAGCTGCAGCCCTACTGTGGTATCTATCTTTTTTTAAAATCTCTGATTTTTGTATCAATGTGATTAGCTCCTGCAACGTAATCTATATTGTATCGCCAGAATCTTGCCAATACAGCCCTAAACAATATATACATTTTCCTACTACCTTGATTGGTACTTATTGGGTCACATTTCTACAGATTCCAGCCCAGGTGATTTATTGGCCTAGGCAAAGGTTTGATTGGTCTCTAATATCAAAATAAAAAAAGAAAATATGTGACAAAATAAGGTACTAAAAAAATATATATAATGACCACTAATCTTTCATGGTCTTTGATTTGCAACATTGTCCACAGTGTACTAGCCAGGCACTAACGCAACTAGAGATATTAAACAGATAGGATTTATATTGATATTAAACAGATGGGATTTATATTGTCTCAAAGTATTTTGTCATATCCCCCACCTCTCCCCTCTGCTGCATTGATATATATTTTAAATTCTCTGTTCTGATTACAGCTGAACAGATCCAGATCCTTTAACCGCTGCTTATTTCACAAAGAAGGCCATACTTACACGGTTTGACCACTGTGTCAAATTGGCTTTAAAGCCTGTGGCTCTTCCTCAGCGCTTGTTCTGTGCTGGTTGGTGTTATTCTTCGTCCTTTACTTGTAGGCATATTCGCTGCCCTTGTCAGGTATGGAAGAATTGAATCCCTGGTAGCTACGGTATTGTAGAAACATGAATACTGTCATGTTTTCAGAAGTTTGGAATCAACAAAGTATGTCACTTTTTGTGACTTTACTACCTGAGGAGCACATAAAAAGCAAGGCCGTGTTGTGAGATTTTCATGAAAGAAATGTCAACTACACTGTTTCAATTCAATTCAATTTTATTTGTATAGCGCCAATTCATAACAGAAGTTATCTTAGGACACTTTTCAAATAGAGCAGGTCTAGACCAAACTCTTTATAACATTATTTACAGAGACCCAACAGTACCACCATGAGCAAGACCTTGGTGACAAGGGCAAGGAAAAACTGCCTGTTAGAAAGCAGAAACCTAGGACAGATCCTTCGGCTCTAGGTGGGTGGTCGTCTGTCTCGACCAGTTGGGGTGAGAGAGAGAGAGACAGAGAGAGAGAGAGAGAGAGACAGACAGGTAGGTGCACAGTAACAACAGTATTAGCAATGGCAATCTAGCAGGACCATGGCAGGAGGCTCCACCAGGATCGATAAGAACCTGCGAGACGAGAAAGCACAAGAACTCCGGGGAAGAAGTGAAGTTAGTAACATGCATTAATGGAACATGAATGAGTGCAGAAAGAGAGAGGAAGAGAGGAGCTCAGTGCACCATGGGAAATCCCCCGATAGTCTAGGCCTATAGCAGCATAACTAAGGGATGGTTCAGGACTCACCTGATCCAGCCCTAACTATAAGCTTTATCAAAGAGGAATGTCTTAAGCCTACTCTTGAATGTGGTGAGGGTGTCTGCCTCCCGAACCACAACTGGAAGCTGGTTCCACAGGAGAGGAGCTTGGTAACTGAAGGCTCTGGCTCCTGTTCTACTTTTAGAGACTATAGGAACCACAAGTAGCCCAGCATTCAGAGAACGTAGTGTTCTAGAGGGGTAATAGGGTACTATGAGCTCTTTAAGATATGAAGGGGCCTGACCATGAAGAGCTTTATAGGTGAGGAGGAGGATTTTAAATTCTATTCTACATTTTACAGGGAGCCAGTGCAGAGAAGCTAGCCTTGAAGTAACAAATGCATGGATTAGTTTTTCTGCATCTGTCTGTGATAGTATGTGTCTAATTTTTGTAATATTACGTAAATGAAAGAAAGCAGTCCTAGAGGTCTGCTTTATGTGGGAGTTAAATGACAAATCCTGATCAAAGATAACTCCAAGATTCCTGACAGTGGTGCTAGAGGCCAAGTTAATGCCATCTAGAGTAACTATATCTTTAGACAATGAGTCTCTAAGGTTTTTGGGGCCAAGAACAAGAATTTTGTTTTTTTCTCTTTAACATCAGAAAATTGCAGCTCATCCAGGATTTTATGTCCTTAAGACATGTTTGTAATTTCATTTCATTGATTGGATAACATACACTCTGAATTGTATTGGGCTAAGCTCTCAGTGTCTCATAACTCTTTGTTTATAATCTACTGATACCCTGACAGCAATGTGTTATATGTTTACATTCTGTTTCTAGTAAATGGAAGAGTTACTTCCATGTCTGGTCCAGTGCAGGTTTCAACACTGGACTTCCATAGAACTAAACCCCACACTAGCCCTAACTACTGCAGAAGATTACAGAGGAAACATTGAGTCATTGGTAAATGGTAAATGGACCTGTACTTGTATAGCGCCTTTCTAGTCTTCTGACCACTCAAAGTGCTTTTACACTACGTGCCACATTATTTTTGTATTGTATGTAAGATTCAGTTTGCACTTAGCATTTTACTGTACTGACATTTTAGTTTGAGTGTAAAATCCATTTCACAAGTGTATGGAGAAACTGTTGTGGCTATAGACATCAGACAGTAAACTGTACTTCAATGTAAACAGAGTAGTTTCACCTAGTATGTGAAAACCAACTAACACAATTTCAACTTTTAGTGCAAACAGACCTGATATATCTTGTTCTAAACTTGGACTAAAGACTCTACTCTACTCTAAACTAAACACTGAAAGGGTATGAAGCTAGTATATCCAAATCACCTTTAGTTTTGTGTGTCCGAACTGTTCTGGGGATCTCCCCTGCAAATTACATACCCTCAAGGGCTTTTTTCTGTTTGCATTCACATCACCAGTAGGAACGCTGAAGTGATGTAAGCTGGTCGGTAGTTGGTATAGCAACATCGCTAACGTAGCACAGCTAATGTTTTACAGAGTTTTTTTTTTTAAATGACGGTTACTGGTGCTTGGTTGGCTCTTGTGTTTGACCAATTCATTGGTGCACATATTTCATTCAAGGTTCCTCTTGGGCTGAGAGTACCTATAGTGGTTATTTAACATGTGATTGTAACAAGCTTCCTGTTGTGTGTTCTCTCTCCCTGCAGGCTCGTGTTTGGGACTCTGTATCCTGCATACTACTCTTACAAAGCTGTCAAGACCAAAAATGTCAAGGAATATGTAAGTTCATGAGCATCACTCAGTATGTTTGGATGACCTGCTTGCTTTTTGAACCATTCTGCACACACACACACACACACACACACACACACACACACACACACACACACACACACAACCTACAACCTACCCTTCAACATGTATGTAGGGCTGCCTCTGACTAAAGAATTTCCTAGTTGACTAGTTGTCGTTAGATAAAGCCAATGGTCACTCATTTTAACACTCAAATGATAACAGAGAAGGCGGTAATGATTCTGAATGTGTCCGTTTATAAATATGAGTTTATTCAGCACTTATCAAGTCCAGTAACTTGATAACACTGCCTGCTACATACATTTTTTTATCTGCATTTGCTAGGTTGGCAATTGGCGTATAAGAAAGGAATTCTGTGGTCATTGTTCGTGTGTGTGTAAGTGTGTTGACCACTTCCTTACAGTTCAGTGTACAAGCTCCAGCATGTGGAAGTGGGAGGCAGTGGTTTCTCCTTTTTTTTTTTTTTTTTATGTCTTTCTGTGTTGTTGATTATCCATAAAACCAAACAGCTTTGATGGGCACCTCTTTCTCCTGTAATCGCTCTCTTACAGCCAACAAGAGTCATGTGTTTATGTGCTGTGGTTCAATGTGTAACAGTGTACTTAAACTATGTTCAAATGAAAAATAGTCAAATTATTGCCTTCAAGTGAAGCATTAACACACCCCCTCCATTTCTGATACATACTGTACACAACTCCTGGTCCAAGATGTATTTGTATTGTATCTGTCTGATGTACTTTCAGGGAGGCATTTACTAGTACAACCTGTTTTATCTAAGGTTAGTGATTTTCTACATGGCCCAGAATGCCTCTGAACAATCACCATATAAGGGCACAAAGTAGTTTATTTTATCGGGTCTAGCCATGGCCAGTGGCTGGTTAGTGAACAGTGTCAACTAGTTATATACCTTGTCTAGTTAAAGATCCCCTCAAGACCAAACACTAATAGTCTTCTTGGAACAATAATGTGTGTCTGTTATGTTTTTTTCTGGAAGGAAGGCCTTTCCTGTAAAGTGTATGTGCAGTGGTGGCTTCAAATTTCTACATCCCACTTGTGAGTTACATACTGGACCAGGACTGACTTCCAAACTATTTGTGATTTCACAAATCATGCTTGTAGGCCCCGCCCCTTTAAAATCAATGACCACAGAGAAACTTTCCACTTTCAGCAGATGAATGTGAAAACATGCTTCTCGTGTCTGTGCATACAGTCCTGCTCACCATTATTGGCACCCCTTCATATTTTGCATAACCTCTACAATATCTTCAGAATAGAAATGTACCAAATTTGTATCATCAGGATCTTTTAACTTACATATTGTAATTTCAAAGAAGAAACAGAAAAAACAGCATGTGCACGATAATGGCACCCCTCTTTAATATTTGGTTGCACACCCGTTGGCAGTGACGACAGCCTCCGAACGTTTCTTGTAGCCATCTATAAGCTTCTTGCACTTCTCAGCTGGTATTTTCTCCCACTCTTTCTTTGCAAATTGTTCAAGCTCTTGAATGTTTGCAGGTTTCTTTTCCCCAATGGCAGATTTCAGCTCATACCAAAGATTTTCAGTTGGATTGAGATCAGGACTCATTGCTGGCCATTTTTTTTTTCCTTTTCAACCATTCCTTCGGGTCTTTGGATGTTTGACGTGGTGTTTTGTCCACTATTCGCACCAACCTTCGAAGACTTCTCTCATCAATTTTTCTCTTCCCCCCACGTCCAGGGAGGTTCTTGACAGTTCCATGCTTGGCAAACTTCTTAATAACATTACGCACTGTTGAAACAGGGATACCAAGGTCTTTGGAGATGGCCTTATACCCTCTGGAGGTCTTGTGTTTGCTAATTATCGCACTTCTGATGTCTTCAGACAACTTCTTTTGTCTTCACCATTGTGACAAAGGAACAGGGGATAAGAGATGGCTTTTTACAAAAAGGAAGTCATCATTCATTGGCTAATTCATGTCACATGGGCACAGACAATTTATCACAGGTGATTCTCATTTGTGATTTACCACAGGTAAAGTTTTTCTATTTTTTCCTCCCATTGTTTATTGTTTTAAATTGTTGTTTATCATTTGCTCCTTTGTATCAAACACGAGTTCTCTATAGAACAGAAATGTTTCACTTGATTAATTTTTTTCAGAAGATATTCCACATTATGTACTTAAACTTCATGGGTGCCAATAATGGTGAGCAGGACTATACATCATCCAAACATCACACTATAAGGACAAGAAGAAACACTGATTTCTGACTGACTTTAAATTAGTCAAATATAACATTACATTTTCATTTGATGTTTTCAAACCTGAAATATTTTTCAGTAGTTTGAAATAATAGTGAAAAGACAAATATGTGTGCTACCTGAATATGAGGGAGAAGATGTTTAGGTTCAAATTAGGGTTCCCAGATAAATTCAAACACAAGTGCAAATAAATTATAGAGTGATACTGATTCGAAATCTTCTCCGCAGGCTATTTTAAAAACTCTGATACCGAGAAAATTCTGCAAATATATCTTGAATGGAAACTATTACCTGATATTTACTGCTAGGAGTTCTGAAAGTGATATATGTAAATACTATTTTAAAAGAAAAGATTTAACATAGTTGTTGCGCATGTTAATTTCTGCTTAGTTTTTAGTGTATTTGAACCTATTTCTCAGAACTTGGGAGCAGAGGAACAGACTTCAATTTGGTATCTTCTCCATATACATTTAATACATTTTTTTTACTTCAAAATCGGCACAGCTTGGATATAATATTTCAGAGATTGTACTCTGATGACAGTATGTAGTTTAGTGAAATAGTTTTTCTAGCTATTGAGTGTGAATTTTAATTGTGTCACAGCACCGATTTCCATTTGATGGGAGCCTATACATGCATATAGCTTTAAGGACTATTGTCCTATTATTGTTGTATTGTATGCTGTATCTATTTTCTTGGTGGAGTTGGGTGATGTAACTAATGTCAGTGAGAGTGAAATCCCAGCCTGCTCAGTTATTACCACATTCACACACAGCTTTAACACACCAGCTCACAGGTTCAGATGCAGCATTCTGTGACTGCTCTGAGCCTCCTTTCACTTTGCTTTTTCTTCTCTTTGTCTTCCTTACTGTCTGCTTGTCTTACTGGTTCTCAGGTCTGTTCTTGTTGCATAAAGCTGTTGGGTTGGTAGAGGTAAATGACCTAGCAATTTCTCTTAAGAAATCTGAATGGTTGGAATGGAAGTAGGCAACAATCTGGTAGTACGATACGTATCACAATACAGGGATTATGATTCAGTATTTTGCTATATTGCAATTTCAAAAAAATAAAATTTTAGGAAAATTGTTATACTATAAAGAACACACACCATATGCATCCAAACTGAGTTAAAAATAACTTTTCTTCTAAATGCAACAGTCCTTGTAACATCCTACATCATAGCACTACTTTGTGTGTAGTCTGAGCATTAGAGTCAAATGGTTGAAGATGGATATAACACTGTTATCTAGCAGTCTGGGATTTAAACTCAACACAAAATGAAGCACTGCCACAAATCTTTGCATAAAAACTGTTCATTTAAAATCAATTCAGTACACAAAAGATAATATTGCGATTTTCAAGTGTATCAATATTTTTTTACACCTCTACAAGGTACGCATTACAGGATAACCTACCTAGTATGTGCACTTACAGACCACTGGGCAATATGGCTGACATCAATACTACAATATTTATATGAATATTTTTATGATGTTCATAAAGACTCAGATGCCAGTTTATCAGCTCCGCCTAGTTAAAAGTAATGCAGTTAATACAACAGTCTTTCCTGCAGTAAAGCCTCCCCTCAATGTTCCGTTTTTGTTGAAATTGTTTTAGAGAGGTCTTGATTCAACTGTATAGTCATTGTGGAGGATGTAGTTTTTGGTGCTCTTGAATTGTATTGCAGAGAGCTGTTGTTTTATTTAACCTAGCGGTTTACAAACTGATGTCCCAAGCAGATATTTGAACTTTTAACACATTTTTTGGAAGTTGGAGCATTAAGGGAAGAACAAGTTTTTTCGGGGATCGAACCAACAACCTTCCGATTAGTGGACAACCCGTTCTTCCTCTGAGCCACAGCTACCCCATTTTATACCACAAAGGTACACACCGTACCAAGTTTTCTTGCCAGGCTACCTTGCATTATTTTGTGTCGATTCCCACTTTACCAACAGAGTTGTCTCATCAAATTCACTGTGGAATCAGTCCCAACATCCTCTAAAGCCTATATACAACTTTAATTGAGCTAGAACCAACCTCTTTTCTCTCAATAGAAGCAAACTTTGCACTTTGTGCCCCCTTTAGAAAATGTCAAGAGGAATGCTGAATCAGTGAATAAAGACTGAGGATGAGCTAGTTGCAGCATCCACTGCTGTTTGCAAATAAGCCTCCAGCCTATCATGATCATCTAACCAAAACAAATTCATGAAATCAAATTTCTTTTCTCTTTAAGCACACCCTCAAGCATGTACATGAAGGATTTCATGTACACATTGATGAACCATCAGCGTTCATTATTTGAAGATAACAGCTACACTACGGCTGAAACGGGCCTGTGGCTGCTTTTATGTGACTATTGCCAGAGGTTACTTGAGTTCATGACAAAGTTGGCTCCAAGAATTCATTCCAGAGGCCAGCCTTCCTTTCTCTCTGTTTTTATTACTTTCTGTGTATCTGTATGTACAGTACATGTATGCATAGTACATGTACGGGCATGCTGACAGACGTATCTCTCAGTCAGTGTCTTGTTGAACAGTAAAAGTAAAACCAACCTCCTTCCGTAGATTCATTCCATTCATTCGTTCACTCCTCATTAACGGTGCAGTTAAAATTACCATTACTTTTCACTATCCTATACTACCTCTGCTACCTATCCATTGTTGACACAGGCTTGATAAAGTGTTGAATGAGGGCAGTTAAAGCATTTGACCCCTAGGCTAAACTGTTTGATTCCACTCTGTTTCAGACAAATGGGCTTCTATGCATAGTGGTTTTCATCCCAGTCTAACTTTAGTAGACTTGTCTGATAAAAATAAAATGTAATTGAATTGAAAAAGTGGTAATTAATCTGTATGTGTCAGAACAACCAGCAAGGAGACTGAACATGTATTTCAACACAGTATAACATCACACAAGTCTTGTTGTTTAAAACACGGACTAACAGACATCACAGATGTATTGATACGATGGATCATGAATAACATTAACAGTTACTTACACATTAACTTGCTACATACTTAATATGTATACTTACTTGCTTAATTATTTTCTACACTACTGAATATGTGTCTGTTGCCTCTGTGTGTTCTGGAGTATATCCAGGACTTATTACATGTTGGGTAGACATTTAGGGTAGCAGTTGTCACAGGGGAATAATGTCTGTGAAAGTGATTTAGAATTCTGTTTCTGTATTAATAATGAAAGTTGTTTTAACATATATCTGTGACCTACAGATGCACACACAAGCCACCATGTGCTTCTTTGTTATTTTAAAAAAAATGTTGCTTTGTTTTAATGCTTTTAGGATGCAGAAAACTGCATTTCTACTCTCATTTACCTGGCAGCCACTAGGAAACTTTTTGACAAGTAGTTGCCTATTAGGGGTGGCCGATATGGGCAAAAAATAATATCTTGTTATTTTTGGGGATTTTGGCGATAACGATAATCAGTCGATATCCTTTAAAATGTGATTGGAATTGTCAAGTTTAGGGCTTGTGTCCACCAAACACGTTTTTAGCGCCGAGAGAGCTCATTTTCCGAGCCCCCAGCGGTGTTAAAAGTTGAACAGATTTCAACTTGAAGTGCTCTGAGCGCTGCGCTAAAAAACCGTCTCCGCTGACATCTTTTTACCGCTGAAGGCGCTTAGCGCTCTGAACGCTGAAGCTCATAGGATTTGTTTTCAAAATAGGCGCTGCTAGCACTAAAAACGTGTTTGGTGGACACAGACCTTTATCAGTCTTTTCGAAACCAAATGGAAACCATTTCCATGCCAGAGAGGTAGACCCACGTCTCGGCACTAAATCATCTGAAGTACCGCTAGCTTCAGGGACTGGAGGTGCTTGCATTTTCTCTCTACCATCACCACGCGCTGCTAAACTGTTGCAAGGAGGATGCTAGCGAGAGGTCGGCCCACTAGTTGTGTGACTGAATCCTGTCATGCTGTAGAGAGCGTTGCTGCACCGTGTATTAAGTGGATGTGAGGAGTTTCCACATGCGTTTCAATATTTTTGTCAAAGTAATTTAAATACTCGATAATGGAAATTTGCACATCGTCAAAACAACAATGACGATATTATAGCAAACGATATATATCGCCCACCTCTATTGCCTTTTACAGGACAGCGGAAAGCATTAACGAGGGAGCATTGTGAACAAAAGTAACAGCTGTACTTTTCACCGTCTTTACCATGTTCTTTTTACTATGGCATTTAATGGCAGACCAGAATATTTGTGGGTGTAAATGCTGCCCCGTCAGGTCCAGAAGGATTTCATGCCCGTTACCTTTGGTGCTCTAGAAAAATGAATACCATCAAGTTTTCAGAATTTTGGTACAGAAGTATCAGTTCTTGTGTGACATCCCTTCTAGAATATGACACATCTAAGAATGTAATATACTGTGGTGTGTGCCACCAGTTTCCTCAACTAGCCTTGATTTGGTTTTTACATAAGTTTACATTTGGGCCACCAAAACTGTGCTTTGGCCACAAAATTTACAGGCCAATGCTTAAAATTATTATTATTATCTATCCCTGTATTTATTGTATTGACACAGGCTTAATTTTACTTAAGTTCACATCACAATTCTTAAAAAAAAGAAAAGACACAAAACCAACATTAACAATATTTAGCATTTAGAGTTGTAGCTGAATGAAACTTCTTGGGTATAGCATGTACAATTGGTCAGTCTTCACTGCTGCCCAGCTCTATCTTCATGCTCTGTCTACTGAGCTTAGCATTACTAGTGGGTCCAGTGGCTGTAAAGACCTGATGTCAGGTGTTTTTTTCCCCCCTCGTCTTATAATGGAAAGCAGTTATTCACAGACGGGGCCAGTAAATGTCTGCTATTGCCTCAGGAAGGAAAATGGCCGCTGTATATTTCACTGAGGTCACGTCTTAATGTCCTCCCTACTGATGAGATGAAGGAGGGAGGGAAAGAGAAAGAGGAAAGAGTGGGAAAAGGCTGTCAGGGACAGAGAAAAAGAAGGGGGTATGAAGTGGAAGATGAAAGGCAGAGTTAGAAGAGAGACGGAAGCATTGGAGGCAGAAGTAGATTGAAACTAGATATAAATTAGATGTCCTCTCCATCTCACTGGCTCTGTGTTTCACTCTCTCTCCTATACATTTATCATTCCCATGAGCTTCTGTGTGTGAGTGTAGAGGGAGTTCATGATAAGGTCACCAAATAACTAGTCCAGCAGTAATGGTACAGGCAGCGGCCAGCGGAGAGACAGTGCAGTGTGTGTGTTCAGTGTAATGCAAGTTAGACTGCTGGTGTGGGTGTGTTTGTGTGTATTTGTTATTCTTTGAGTTTGTGCTTGTGAGACAGGTGAATGTGTTCTCTGTTCCTCTCTCTTGTTCTCCCTCTTTCAAACACAGACTTAGATTTCTCCCTCACTCTTCTACCCACACACACACACACACACACACACACACACACACACACACACACACTGACTTTTCATTAGCTAGTGTCAGTGTGTGTGCAGTCATGCAGCAGCGGCCGGGTCTGGCTAATACCTCAGCTTGCCATGTGACCGTCTACCGCTAGCTTTGATATGGAAATCCAGACAGAAAAGCCTGGAAAGCCCTTAAAGAGGGATGGAGGGAGTGGGAGCAGAGAGGACAGCAGAAAGCATAAAAGCAAAAAGAGAAAAAATCCTAAACCTCTGTTTGCCCTTCACTGCTTCTGGCCCAAGAGGGAAAGGTGCAGGATTAAAGGAGAAAGAAGAGAGAAGAATAAATCCACTTATTAAAGTCCTTAAGTAATGACCATAATGACCATTTTCACCTGTTAGGTCTGGTCAAATCAGGGTTAGTAGAACAATAGGCTTCACTAAACATAGTCAGACCTCAGATCTCTTCTTTTTATTTCCTTGCTTTTCTATATTTTCCCATCTGAATTTCCTTCTGCCAGGTGATGATGGAGATTTTATAGTAAGGCGGTTCAAGTGTCTGCAATGTGATTGACAGGTGATACGAAGGGCTGCAGGGTAGAATCAAATATTAATATATACATCCAAAAACTATGTCATATTTTGGTAGGAAATTAAGGCTTCGGGTAATGAAAACCTATACCATATTATCTGGTATTTTATATAGCTTTTGTCTTCAGATTGTAGGACTGGTGAAATATTGCAGTACTTAATTAATTTGCAATAATATTGTATATCGTTTCATCCCTAATGGGAAATTGATAGAAGTATTTCAAAGTTTAGAAAATCTGATGATATATTGGCACATATTAATGTTGAAAAACATAAACACAACGTAAACAAACTTGACACAGATGCCTTAGAATGATGACAGAGATACTGTACATACTGAGCAGGACATTTTACAGTGCGGTGGACAGACTATGTAGTACCTCAAATGACCTCAGATCTTGTAATATGGTATTTCTGCATTGCAATTTCTAGTTGCTTATCAACTGGTATAACACCAATACAGATATATCTGCTGATATATCAACCTGCTGGATTTATTGGTGTAGCTCTGTTGTTCAGTGTTTGTTCTGTTTGTGTGTGTTTGTGTAGGTGCGATGGATGATGTACTGGATTGTGTTTGCCCTCTACACTGTGGTGGAGACCATCACCGACCTAACACTGGCATGGTGAGTTACACACAAAGGGTCTTATCTCAGTTAACATCCACAGAAAGTATGCACACAACAATTTTATTTAATAATTATCTAAAACTCACGGCCTCACCAGTCCTCTCATATGTATACTGTTTGTTGGTGATGGGGTGATTGTGTGACAGTGCAAACCTTGCTGATACTAACTATATTGATACATGGAACAGAAACTAACTCATTCATTCACATTCCCACCCGAAAATTTGGGGTTCAGTATTTTGCTCAAAGATACTTCGACACATGGTGGGAGGAGCCGGGGATTGAACCTACAACCTTCCCATTAGTGGACGACCCGCTCTGCATCTGAGCCACAGCCGCCCATATTTTTCACTATACAAACATTTCGGGTGTATGTCATTAAATAATGCTCCAACTGGACTGACTTGATTATATCTGTGCTGTTTGGTAGGTGAGTGAAGTAAGTGGTTGTGCGACAGACAACAATGGAAGAAGTGACACTGATTTTTTTTCTTTTTCATGTTTATGAAAACAAACAAGATATAAGAGATAGAATTTTATATGGCAATGGAGAATCTAGAGCAGTGCTGGGGCGAGTTATTTCCCCACCATTTTGTATTTCCCCTTAAAAGTCCAGTGTGTAACATTTGTATGTTGTATGTATGTTTTCATTAATTATTGTGTTTTATCTACAGAGGGAGCAGGTCCTCTTCTAGTTATTGTGTTTGCTGTTATTGTTCTTGTTGTGATGTGATGTCACATCTGCTTGACCAATCACAAGCTGGTGGCAAAATAGTTGGAACTTGGATTTTGTGGAGCTCTGTCTACAATTAAGTTCCAAGAACACCACAAAGCTGATGATGAAATGGTAGCCATGACGATGGTTACATGTTTTGTTGCATTTGTTCCTGTTGTGGAAACTGATCAGCCATAACATTGTGACCACCTGGGCACCCTGGTGGTCACAATGTTATACATCCCTATACCAACAAACTGCTCTGCACTGTGTGTTCTGACACCTTTCTATCAGAACCAGCATTTAAGCTTTAGTAGCTCTTCTGTTGGATCGGACCTACGGGCCAGCCTTCACTCCCCTGTGTCTGTGTGTGTACATGTCCAGGTTTCCTCTGTACTATGAGCTGAAGATAGCCATTGTGATCTGGCTGCTGTCACCCTACACTAGAGGAGCAAGTCTCATTTATAGGAAGTGTCTGCACCCTCTGTTGTCCTCCAGAGAGAGGGTAAGATTATCCAGCCATCCATGTTTTCCTCTGTATGCACTGACTATTTGTTGTTGGCCATTATAGTCTCGCAGTACTTTTACTCAATTAAACTGTCTACTAAAAAGTGTTATTGATGTCTCCATGTAGGAAATAGATGAGTATATTGTGCAGGCCAAGGAGAGGAGCTATGAGACCATGGTCAACTTTGGCAAGCAGGGACTGAGCATTGCTGCCACCGCCGCTGTCACTGCAGCTGTCAAGGCAAGTGTCTCTAGCTCGTAAGAACACTAAATTCTATTCTATTCTGTATTCTATTTCACATTTGTTTAAACGTGCTACTTTTTATTAATAGTTTTCATCATTAATGTACTGTCATTAGAATTTTACTTAAACCAGCTACAATAATTTTTGAACTGGTTACGAAACAGTCTCAGTTTAACACTAGTGCCAATATGACCTACTTTGGAAAATTAGACCATCAGCAAGAATATTGGCTATTTATATATTATTATTCTAAAAGATGGATTGACTTACAGAATTGCCATATAGTAAAATATCAACACTTTGGGTTCCAAAGCTTCAAGCCACAACCCAAAGCATCAGTATTTGATGACCTGGGAATGAGCCTCACCAATCAATAGCTTTCTAGGCTCTGATTGGTTAATTTTGTTCAACTGTGGTGGATTCTAGCAGATGCCATTAGGAGCTTTAGAACAAGCCAGAGGAACCAGATAAAATTACCGACTGCAGCTTTAAATAGCATTAAGGTTCTCTCTCTCTCTCTCTCACCTCAACTGGTCGAGGCAGACGACCACCCACCTAGAGCTGAAGGGTCTGTCATATTCAATTCAATTCAATTCAATTTTATTTGTATAGCGCCAATTCATAACAGAAGTTATCTCAGGACACTTTTCAAATAGAGCAGGTCTAGACCGAACTCTTTATAACATCCTAGGTTTCTGCCTTTTAACAGGCAGTTTTTCCTCGCCCCCGTCACCAAGTGCTTGCTCATGGTGGTACTGTTGGGACTCTGTAAATGTTATAAAGAGTTCGGTCTAGACCTGCTCTATTTTTGAAAAGTGTCCTGAGATAACTTCTGTTATGAATTGGCGCTATACAAATAAAATTGAATTGAATTGAATTGAAATTGTATAAAGCTGCATTGATGTATCTCACTTTTAAATGTGGGACACTTTGTGTTGATGATGCTTTAAACTTCAATGAAACCGTCATACAACCAATTTTCCTGTCTTTTTGTCGTGAGTTAGACATAAAATAGGTCTTAACTTGCATTTATAATGGTTTTCAAAAAGTCTTAAATTCAACCCATTGTGAACTGCACAAACCCTGGGAAATGTTGATGACTAGCTTTCTCAATAAAAACTATTACCGATCACCCATCTCTGTAAATTATATTACATGTAACCTAGCTGTATGAACGGTACTAAAACAAAGCTTTCTTTGTTTCACCATTGTCATATTTCAGTTATTAATCTTACAGAACCACTAATAGATTTACATTACATTATATTACAAACAGCTGTGTTTAAAAATGTAAAATAGTATTAGAAATAAGCATCTTTTTTGCACTTAATTCCAAAACAAATACACGCACTAGGCAGATCAAGATCTTTATGACACGAGGCAGTGGTGCGCATATGTTCAATCAACACAGAATGCTCAATCACACCGACGGAAATAGTGTTATTGGTCTGTATATGAATTGCATTAATTACTACAGCAGGTCCTGATTAAAATCTTAATTTGGAGATGACATAGTATCTAAAACATTGTGCTCATGCAAATGTATCCATTGTGAGTGTGTCTCTAAAGCACTGTGGGGCCCCTCAGCAACCGCACACTGCAGAGTCGGTATAAGTGAAATGTGAACTGGTTTTATCAGCATTACATAAATACCTGAGTGTATCAGTTAATCCCTACTGATCTCCTGTCTAAGGCTTCGCTGCACTGAGGTGATCCCAGGCAGTACGAATCTACTACTAAATAGAAAGTCAAGTTAATAGATCCACACTCACAGCAGAAGCCATCTAGCAAAGATATGATTTAACTTGATGGGACTGGAATCTTTAGTCACTGTTATTATCAGACAATCAATATGCAAAAATCTTTTTGAAGACAAACAAGTAATAGCCAATGATACTGTTCTTTTTGAGTTGGATTTCTTTTTCCTTTCTGTACTTTATGTTTCAGCTTTTTGGAAATACTACATTGTCATAACCCTAATTCTTACTAAAATATCAAAATTATGACCAGCGGCCCCTTGCTGTGTGTCATACCCTCTCTCTCTACCCTTTCCTGTCTATCTTTAGCTGTCACATCCATTAAAGGCAATAAAAGCCCCAAATATATTTTCTTTTAAAAAGAAGAAGAAAAAGTTTGAATGATTTTTAAAATTTAGAATAAAAGTATATGGTATAAGTATAAGAGAGAAGACTGCACTATGTAATATGATATATTCTCAGATTATGTCCTGTTATTGAGATTTACATGCATGATCATATGGTCTGATGTTTACATGATTACTTACAGAGGGGGTGGTTTAATACCTGATGGGTACAAACCTGGCCCTGCACTGTAATCTCAAATTATTTACCAGCCACCTGGCCGTTAACCCCAGTTCATTTTTCCGCTAGACCCAAATTGGTGGGTGTTTTGGACCCTGTTAATGGTAGACAGTGATCAGAAACCTGGATCAGATGTTTACATGCCATATTATCCTGGTACTCTGGCTAGCATTTACAGGTTTATTGCGAACAGGACCACAAATCCAGGTTTCTGAAACCAGAATATGATGCGTGCATGCGTGCGTGCGTGCGTGCGTGCGTGCGTGCGTGCGTGCGTGCGTGCGTGCGTGCGTGCGTGCGTGCGTGCGTGCGTGCGTGCGTGTGTTCTGGTAGTCAGGAGCCATTAGAAGGTCTCAGGAAAAACAAACCTTGGTAAAATGCCACTGGACAGGAAATTGCATTTATTCTCTTTCATTGCTAATGTCCTGTGGCAAACTATCGGGCTGCTCTAGCTCACTCTTTTGATAACTGGGCCACTGTTACTATTCAATTCAATTAGTTTGTGTTCTGTGCTTCTATTTAAGGGAAACATTGAGTACATTGACTACAGAACATTGAGTCCCATCTAAAACAAAACACAAAACATGAATGACTTGAGGTGTTTATATTCAAACAAAGGGGATCCGCATCAGGAGGATCAATGCCAAGAGCGTGACTGTGTGAATTAATAGATTTTTGGCTGTACCTTTAACTTCACTGTCCTTGTAGTGACACCAGTGTGAGACTTGTAAAAACCATTGGTAAAAACCCTCCTGTCTCTGCTTACATAAAACACCATTTATGACTGCTTCAAAGCTGTGCCTCTCTCTCACTTTCCAACATTCCAATCTCATGCTTTCTCTCTCTACAACACTTGTCTGTCCCTCTTTCAGTTTGTCTTTTGTGTGGTTGAAAACCTTTCTCCCTTTATTCCTTTTATTCCCTTATCTTACTGTTTCTCTCTTCTTCCCTCTCCCTCCCTGTTTTATTATCACCATTTTAGGTAACCGTGCTATTTCAGAAGCTTTTTGTATTTTTAGTTGGAATTTGATTAACCTTGGCTTGTACAATAAAATCAGATGCATTGTACATAAAACCCATCTGTCTGAAAGACTGAAGTTGTTACTGTTGCTGCTCTGCTCCCTGGTCTGTGAGCGACTCGCCTCTGGTCATGCCCATGTGACACACCCAAATCTAATGGAATACACGCCACCTGAATCAGAATCCTAAAAATCCTTAAAAATATGTTTTTGCTAATTTGGTCTGACCATGACCATTTTCCAAAGATGCCATAGATATTTGACTTGATTTCCATTTCCACTGGTCCTCTCTATCTAGAACCCTAACCACTGCTCTGGTTGCAGAAAAAAGGGAAACTTTCGTTTTTTCTCTGATATCATCCATAAGTGTTGTTCTTTATACTATAAAGTTTTCCTTAAAGGGGAATTTGGCAACCATTTCAACTTAATAAACCTGTTTAGAAATCATTTGGCTGGTTAAATGGCCTGTTCCGGTGTTAATGGTGACTTTCCTCGCTCCCCCTAGCGTCCCCAGGCGGAAAACCAACCTTGCAACTTTGGAAGTTGGAAGTAGGAAGTATCGTGAGAAGCAATAACGAGCGAGAAACACAAACTACTTTACAGCAATTCCACATAAACACAATGTTCTATGATACTGTGTATAATGTATTACCCACCTCGGTAGACATTGCTCCACACGAAAAGTTGGCAGGCAACAAATGCACATCAGCAGCGGTAGAAAGGTGGAGGAGGGTGCCGCAAGTGAGTTTTTTTTACGACAGTTTTGTGAAATATACGTCCCAGAGCTGTAGGGGGAGCTCGTTGAGAAAACATGCGACGACAAAAGTTCCCCTTTAAATTAGGTTTCTTTTTAAAATTGCAATATATCGCCTTGCTTATTGTATCGCATATGTATCGTATATGTGGAATCGTAACCCATGTTTCGTGATACGTATTGTATCGCCTAACTCAGACTCCCGCATATGAGTGAGCATACAGTATCTCACAAAAGTGAGTACACCCCTCACATTTCTGCAAATATTTCATTATATCTTTTCATGGGACAACACTGAAGAAATTACACTTTGATACAATGTAAAGTAGTCAGTGTACAGTTTGTATAACAGTGTAAATGGGGCGGCTGTGGCTCACAGGCAGAGAGGGTCGTTCCTTAATTGGAAGGTTGTGGGTGCAATCCCCAGCTCCTGGTGCCACATGTCGAAGTATCCTTGAGCAAGATACTGAACCCCAAATTGCTCCCGACGCCGTGTGTGAGTGTGTATGAATGTTAGTTTCTGTTCAATGGACTTTGCCATCACTGAGTGAATGTGTGTGAAAGGGTGAATGTGGCACGTAGTGTAAAAGCGCTTTGAGTGGTCGGAAGACTAGAAAGGCGCTATACAAGTACAGGTCCATTTACCATTTAAATTTACTGTCCCTCAATAACTCAACACACAGCCATTAATGTCTAAACCGCTGTCAACAAAAGTGAGTACACCCCTAAGTGAAAATGTCCAAATTGGGCCCAAAGTGTCAATATTTTGTGTGGCCACCGTTATTTTCCACCACTGTCTTAACCTTCTTGGGCATGGAGTTCACCAGAGCTTCACAGGTTGCCACTGGAATCCTCTTCCTCTCCTCCATGACGACATCATGGAGCTTGTGGATATTAGAGACCTTGTGCTCCTCCACCTTCCGTTTGAGGATGCCCCACAGATGCTCAGTACGGTTTAGGTCTGGAGACATGCTTGGCCAGTCCATTGCCTTTACCCTCAGCTTCTTTAGCAAGGCAGTGGTCGTCTTGGAGGTGTGTAGCTTTTTACTTCTGGCGATTGCATTTATGCTTCAGAAATCATAGAAGTGGTGTTCATTTGTGAAGTTTATCTTGCTGAACAAAATATTTGAAGTATCATAAACATTTGTTCACCAGCAGGCTAATTTCCTGAAATAACCCATAATAATGGAAAAATCCCATTGGCCGTTTGTTGGAGGAACCAGGGTGAAACAAACTTTCTGGTTGAGCTACAAAAATACATCATCCCTGCTGCACTATATTGAGAACCTGTGGGAAAACTGAGTTCTGCTTGACTCTACGTAGCTAACCACCATGTACAGTACACTGATTTTAGAATCATGGTATCTGTTTTTTTTGTCAAGATAATGTCTGGATCTATCCCAACTTGCCTACTAGCTAACCCTCTTCTGACTATGTTTCTCCTTCTCTCTCTGTACTGACATCCTTCTCTCTTCAGGGTTTCTGTGCTTCAGCAGGCTCCTCTGGGAGGTAAAAACCAGTCAGTGTAAGCAGCATGGACAGAACATTCCCTTGCCATTTCATACCAGCATTATTCTCTGTTCCCCATCCTGTGATTTTCAAACATTTCTGTTCTTTTATCAGACCTGGTAGCTGAAAATAAATCTTAAGTGTTTATTTCTATTTTGTTAGTGTTGTAATACTTTATTAAGTGTTTGCAAATAAATTGAACTCAATATTACAGCCTATTTTTTCATTTATATCCCTTTTTACCTGTGTTTAAATGTTTATTTTCATTATAACACTTGGCATATTCTTCCTGTTCTTTTTTCCTTTTTTTTTTTTTTTTTTAACTTGCACTAGGTTTCATGTTTTTGTTTCTCCCGTTATCCTGTTGCTCATTATGTAAACCATTTCCATGATGATGTCTTCATCACTGTAGAATTTTCTTGATCATTTCTGCTTTCTGTGTGAGAGGAACAAGCGTACTCACTCGTATTTAGGGCTCTTAGCTGTAGCAGGCTGAGTTTTGAGTGAGGTTTATAATCTGTATATCAAATTTATAATGACAAAAGTCATTTGTAAATCAGTATATGATACACTATAATCATTATATGCTTCTGCAAAAAAGACCCAGTGTATGTTTATGACATCAGGCCCCAACATTTCCCATGTAAAATAAAACTATGGCAGCAGAACATTAGCTCTTCTAGTAGTAGAACAAAAAAGTCAGTTTTATGAGAGATGTTACATCATGAGAATTAAGTCAACAAGAAAATAAGTCATTCTTAAAACAAACGGTTGTAAAGTAATATATAATTAGCATTATATAAAGTTACAACATTAGAAAATTTATTTTAATACTCCATTGCAGTGGACAGGTTAAGAGCAGTGAGCTTATAGGTCAAATTAGGGATGCAGATGACCTGAATTTTTAGTCTTTTGAATTTAGTGAAATTAAATCAAAGTCTGTAACTTCACATGTTTGTAGCAGCTGGAGCACAGTGGTGACTTGGTTTACCCCAGACAGCTAAGCCAAACCATAAAGCCGTTCAAAATCATTGGACTAGTATAAATTGGCAACCATAGTTAGCGGACATGGAGCAGTGCTGTATACCAGTCGTAGGAAAGAGAAAGTCCTTTTCCCAGCCCCTGTGAGTTTTCCCTCACAGAGCGGATCCTTGTAGCACTTAAGCAGCAGAGTGAATAGTGAAGTGTATATATTGACGACCATGCTTATTTACAACTTAACAGACTCGCTCGTAATCACATTATTGTCTCTTCAACAATACCACACAAATTTAGATTTTTTTCGGACAGCTAAGAAATACAAAATAGCCTAAAGCCTCCACATATTCATTTGGAAATGCCAGACTTTTATTGTCTGTAGACATTAAGGGGAGTAGTTTGAAGAACACTCACTTACTTCATTGGTGTATTAGATTTTGTCCTCTTGGTCCCTGAGAGGTCTGAAGTTCTATTTGCTGGTGATGTAATATTGACTTGTGTTTGTGTGTTACAGGGTCAGGGTGCCATCACAGAGAAGCTGCGTAGCCTGAGCATGCATGACCTCACACAGATAAACCAGCAGGATGACAGAGGAGGGAACCAGCTCTACCAGTACAGCTCCCACTCATCCAACCCCGCCATCAGGAGATCTCAGAGCACTGATGCTGCTGACGAAGCTGGTACACACACACACACACACACACACACACACACACACACTGCAATTTTTCCCCCAATAGTGTAAAAGTGTACATGAGACAAGATGTACGTGCATATGCTATTACTATATTTCTTGCCATTACTCAAGTGCCGAATGTCCTGTCAGCACAGTCCTTACATGCCTTAAACACTGACATTCTCCTCTGTGCATTGATATACACACATCTGCCATGTGTTGAAATCCTGTGTATATAAAAATCTGTGAAAACATGTTTAGTACCAATAAATGCAAATTTATGAGTTCTGAGTTGGCCAAATTTTTTGCTGAAAATAACAATCTATTACCTAATAAGACATACCTAGCTGTTGTATTCACAATAGGGGGGAAATTGGGGAGAAATGAGAAAGGTACTTCAAAAAGAACACCACTGATGATGAGGTCCAGGATGTTCTTTTTGTACAGACTGTCCCAGTGAAATAGATTTCAGGTGGACCCACTCTGCACCTGGGTTGGAGACATGGTACAAATTTCCACATTTTTAGGTGAAATGCCCCCACACTGTCACCCTAAATATGTTTACTAGTAGGCTCACAGATAGGGCTGTCAACATCACTGCAACACTGCACTTAGGTCAAATAGCCAAATCAAATCTTTATTTTGGATTGTCTTTGTTTGCTTCCTTCCTTGCTTGTCTGATGAGAACTGCAAGCTGGCTGGCATGTCAATGAAGTGTGTGTCTGTGTGTGTCTGTGTGTGGACTTCCCAGCAGACAGATGAGGTTGGGTGGGACACTGGTGGAATGTCAATCACGCACACAGCTAACCAGTGAGGCATGGAGAGGGAGAGAGCAGGGGCTGGGAGGGAAGGACAGAGATGAATTTATAGGAGGAGAGTGGAGATGTAAGGGATGGATGTAGCAGGAGTGAATTGGAAGAAGAGGGAGATGGACAGATGGTAGTTAACATTAGCATACTGAGAGAGGAAAGACTGTATTATGTTTTCAGCTCAGCCAGCCAGCAGCAGACAGGCAGATAGATAAAGGGATGAAAAGAAGCAAAGGAAGAGAAATATTTTCACCCTCTTTCATATACATGTCACTGATGTGGAGGGTTTTCACATGACATCACACACCCTCTGGTGGTCGTATTGGAGGTCCTCAGCTCTTAAGCAACAACGGTTCTCTACAGATGTACTGTTTTGTTAAAGCTATAACTCAAAGATGACTGGTGGTATTCTAGATTTATCTTACTGTCAGCAAATCTCATGTGCAAAGTCAAACCATCAAGAAATGTATCAACTCAAAGAAGTATTGTGTGTTTATCGAAGCCTGATATATCTTCTTCTGTGCTATAGAGCTCCATTGTTGTCAAAAAACTACTTAGAACACATCAGTGAACCAAGCTGTTGCACTGGGTGACATTTTCCTTGATTACCACAAACACACAGGCTGTAGTTTATTTTGACTCAGTCCCACACAAACCATCATGATCCCAAAATACTAGAGCACTGGTTTTCACTATGGTACATGTACCATGTACCATACTGGTGGTATTAAAAGCTGCTATATTGCATAGTTAAAACACTAGGCGCCAGCTAGTATTGTTTTAGGGTTTGTTGATATGGTCACATATGGGGATGTGGGTCACGTGGTGGTGCATCAGCCAGGTAGTGAAATCAGATGTTCACCTGATGAATGAAGGAACTGAGAGGGTGAGAGGGGAAGTCTTACTTTTGCTGACCGCATGATCTCAGAAATAGACTGACTAAATGTTTTTATGGACTATAGGAACACTCACCGTTTGTGTTTTAGCAGCAGTAAATATGCATAAATCAGCAATCGAAAGATGTTTTTATTGAACAACCAGCGCGTCCGGGAGGTAAAGTTTTTCCCCTGCTTAGCCTCTCTGCGACTATATTGTTTGTTTGATAGTCACTCAACAGTGTATATACTCATTTATAGTCTTATATTTTCTATTATATTTTGTAATATTTTATTTTGTGACATCTTGTTGTACCTCCACTTCTGTACTCTCTTTTGCACTACATTGCCATATGCTGCAGTGTCCATTTTGAATTTCTTCTAAGGGGATCAATAAAGGAGCATCTTATTTTAGATGGAGGTATTTCTGACATATTTTTGTAATCTGAAATGTGAATTAAAGTTACTTTAATTTTGTGTCAGTATCAGCCTGCCATGTAGTGTAGTTCATGAAAAATATTCATTATCAGTTACAATCTAAAATATGATGATTGGATATCATGGAGGTCAAATTAATGGTTCAAAAACACTGCAATCATGGCTTGAAACAGGAATTATTAGGGAGATGATTCAACAACAGTCAATAATAATCTGCTCATTAGGAATAAACCTTTTTTTTTTTTTTTTTAACCATGAATTTTTAGTAGTGTGTCTTGAGAAAGGTAGTAAAGCTCATCAGCAATGATAGGACAAAGTAAATAGGAATGTCCACTACATTGAAACACTAAAAACTAACTTTTTCCTGGAGAGACATGATAGAGACACGATTATAAAATCCTGGCTGGACAAGTGGCACCAGGTCTTTGCTTTTGGCTGAGCTAGATGGAGCATTGTTTAATAAAGCCCTCAGCTCTCGACATGACAGGAAATTGGAGAGTTTTACCACAGAATAGACTGGGGATAGCTAGAATGACGGGAATGACTTGAATTTGTTCTCCATAGTCCTCACAGAGAATCTAGCTCTGTGAAAGAATTAAATTCCACCAAGGAACAGAGCTCTAAAATGTTATTCCTGTGCAAATGACCAGTGCAGCCTGGGACCCAATCAGGCTGAGGACATCTAACCATTTGTTTTTGTTTTTTCATCTGTATGGTTGAACACTGTTTAGGTAGCGGGACTGAATTCTTTCATCACTATCAACCTCAAAACTACAGCTCTAATTACCATCCAACCAACACATTCAGAATTCAATATTTTGGATCTTGTGTTAGAATCTCATGTCACATGAGCCTCTGTCTCATCCCACCCTGTTTCCTCAGGGAGGGGAAAGGCTGTTCCAACTCTGGAGAGTGGGAGGTTTTCCTTTATAGACTCCAGATGTGACAACAACAGCAGCAGCAGGAGCTAGAACCAGAACAACCAGAAAACACATCCCTGTTCAAATACTGACTGCTTTTAAAAACACAAAATACATAATTAAGTTAGGCTAGTTGAGTTATATAAATTATATTTTGAGCAGAAAACAACTATTTGCTATGTAAAAGTATAGTGGAGTAATGGCACACTTTGGCTTGGGCGGTATCAATGTATGACAGAATATTAGGGTATTTAGAAATCCTGAAGAATGGAGCTCTATGGCACAGAGATACACCCACAATACTCGTATATGGTTCATCAATGCTTTGACTCTGTGTTGACACTTGTTGACTAGAAGAAAAATATAGAATAGATTAGGAGGCTGATTGTGATATGTTAACAGAATTGAATTGATGTGGTAATATTCTAATATTAGTATGTGGTCAGTGTGACCTATGTGTTTTCAACTCATCTAATGAGAACATGAGAACAACAGTAATTTAACGTGGTTCATTTATATGGTAGTTTGTTGGAACTCATACACATTATTATACTACTTGACTTTCATGGTAATTAAATAGACTTAAGAACTGAGTAATTCTGAGTCTCTGTTTCTGTTTTTCCTGATCGGTGTATGGTTATGTTTTTCAGAGTACTTTTATGACGAGGAAAGAACAGATGAAGAGGCTGAACCAACCTTCTCTGAAGACGAGGCTGTTACTCAAAAAGGACTGAGACGATCGCAGAGTGTCAAGATCACACGATCAAGAGTCCGTAAAGATGTAAGTGTTCTGTTACTGCTATGGCCTCTATTGGAGGATATCCCCTTCAGAGGCTTGTAAAGGTACATCTTTAAACCACTCCTATATTGTCCAAATCGGCCAAGCAGTTGCTAAAATATTGTCCGTATATGAGAGTATGCTAATTGGTGCTAATTGTGCTAATTGCCCAATGCAAGTTAGCATCTGGCAGTTTCTATATGCTGGGGACTCACACTTTAGATTTCTAACAAAACTTTAGGGTACTAAACATTTCCAGGTTTGTGTTTCTGGTAAGTAGACTTCTACCCTTTTTTAGATCCTGTTTGTTTTACCTAAACATTTTAACAAGGTGAAATAGTTTAGTCATCAGATGTTCGGATTTAAAGCTTTTAACACTTCTATGGACTTTTATTCCATTTTATTGCTTTATTTATTTATTTATCTATTTTTGGTGGATCTTCAGTTATATAATTTACTCCATAGCAGGTTTATTCTTCTGGATTTTAACTTTATTGGTAGCTGTTTTGTTTGCTGGCATTGTTTAACATCTCAACACTACTGTCAATGAGGAAATCTCTTCAATGTTCTATCGGGGTAAAATAAACGTGTATTCATCTGTTAGTTAGCACAAAGCTAGTTTGCACATATAGTGTATATTTATTTTTGAAATCTTTCTGTATCAGTGATTCATAACTTTCTTCTTTTCATTATTCTGTCCTCAGGCTCGTTATGGATCCCTGAAAATTAAAGGCAAGAAGAGACCAGCGCTCAGCTCCGTTAACTATGGGATGTGAAAAGACTACTGATGACACACATTCACATTTACAAAGCAGAGCAGTCTGCTGATTGGTGGATGGTATTGTCAGCCTGTATTCCATTTCTTCTCAGTCTGATTTACTCTTCTGTCTCTTTGGTGATGAGCTTTCTTCTCACATATTTATTACCTACTTCATCCAGAACCAGCGACTCTAGCTTGAGCTAGATATTTTTCTTTGGGTGATAGCGTACATGTTTTTTACAAAGATTATTTTGGGGTTTTTTTGCCGTTATTGATAGCTCAACAGCTGAAGAGTGACAGAAAGGAGGGATAGGATGTACCCCACTGCAGTAAGGACTCAGCTTTAGTGCGTGGTGCGTTGCTCTACCAGGTGAGCTGTCGGGTTCAATGGTGTACATGTTTTTTGCATGACTTGTGTGTGATTCATCTGTTGTTTATTGTAGTTTAATTGTAGTTTTTAGGTGTGATGTTATGTATGTGTAGTCTTTTAGATTTTAGATCCATCACTTGAGTCTTTTTGGTTAAGTTTTGTGGTACCACTTTCTAATAAGGCATCTTTTATAGAGTTAATAAATTCTAATTAATGGCTTGATGCATAGTTAAATAATTTACTTTTAATTAATAACAACTTACATTTACCTGTTCATGGAAAATCCTTTTTAGTGTTTTTTCCTCCCCAACACTTAAACTCTTTAGTTCAACAGGGCGACTCCTCCAATAGAATGTTGGACCATTTTCAGTCGGGAGAATGTTGCATGGCATAACATTTGCAAGTGTTGACTTGGTAGGTTATTATCAAGTGAACCCTATGACCCCTTATTAAAGCAGCATTCATTTACATTTTGGCCAATTGGGGGCAACACAACAAGCTGATATATCTATCATTTTACTTAATATCCTGTGTGTAAAGTTGTTATGGTGGACATTACACATGAATCCATTGTTAATGTGACATGAGTTTATTAATTCAGCTTTAAAGTGCAAATGTGCACCTTGTGAAAGAAGAAATAACACATTCTTCCTCTTTCAAATAATAAGTTGAATTTATAAGCAATGAAATACACTCAAGGGTTTTGCTGCTAGAGTATTACTTGGTCTAGCAGTGACTTATGGTGGCTAATAGGGCTGTCACTTTTTAATCGAAATTCGAAAATTCGTTCAAATGTGGTTAATTTTGGAAGTGTTCCAAATGACCTGTTCGAATTCCAAACTGAATCTATTCTATAAACGCAACAAACCGTTTGAAGTAGTTATCCTTGTGATCCAGCAGAGGGCGCGCCACTACTAGCTTACTGATTATGTTGTTTACTAAGAAACTAGAGGACACTAGCAAAGCATGGAGCAAAGCCGTGCTGAGCACACCTTTGTGACACTAAACTATCTGAGTGCCATCACCGATTAGAGAGCAACATGTATATGCAAGGACATGCTGATATGTCGCTCATTGGCGTGGTAAGAGCAACTGTCCTATCCCATAGTCAAGTGTTTTCCGCCATGTTTTGTACATTTGTACTATGTGTGTGTAGATCATTTATTCGATATCATTCGACCAAATTGCGTGTCATCTGAAATTCATTAGAAAAAGTGACATGCTAATGTTAGCAACCTTTAGATAGATGCTATGTGTTAGAACCAAGTGTGAATCTATTGTGACGTCATCCATTGGTTGTGGAGTGCCGTTTTGAAAGCCTCGAATTCGGCGTTTTGGCCGCCGCCATGACAGTTAGCTAGCACGAGCCAGCGGACGTGAGGTAGTGCTCATTGAGCTGCGCTCATTGGCTGCGAAGTTTGGATTTGTCCGTAGCCGGAAACAATGGCGGCTCGCCTGGTCACACACACGATCTCGTATTCCAAATAAATAGTACACCAAAATATGTTTGTAAACAACTGTAAGTGAGCAATATGCAACACCGTAACATAATGTAGCTTCCTATCTGATCAGCACAGGTTTGACAGTTTGATCTGAGTTTGGTGCGCTGCGCTGGACAGACTGACGAAGAGTGACCTGTCAATCATAAGGTAGCCACGCCCAAAAGCACATGCAGCTTTATGGTCTATTTTACTCTAAATGGGGCCATAATTGACTAAATATACCATACTAAATGGAAGAAGACGTGAAACTAGTCACTGAGACCATAAACTCATTAAATCATTCTCCATTAAAGTGAATGGTATCGGTGTGTAATTGCAGCCAATGGAGCTCCTGCTGGCCTTTACATAGAATGATGGTGTAAGACACTTCTGCATTGGCTTCTGTCTTATATACTGCCAATGGCTAGAACCTCTCAACTATTTCTGTCATTTTTCACAGTGCAACAGACCTATGAGGGTCTTCCAGGACAGACTGTCTGAAAATGTGCACTGTTATCCCCGTATGCAAAGTATATTGTGTATCGCCCTCTCTGTGATGACCAGGTTTTCACTTCACCTTCAAGGTGTTCTTTTTTAGCATGAGCTGGCCCCTGCACTCCATTTTAGGATGTTGCAGATACAATTCAAGGAACATTTCAGTAGTTATATTACAATGAAGAGAACTGCAAGTGCTGCCGTTTATCAAAAGTTATGGTCTTGCTTTAAATGTGCATTTTAACAATGGATCAAATGACTGTCGCATGAAAGGTCTGTTTTTCTGTGTTTGAATGTCTTATAGCTCAGTGTTGTTTTAAACTTTACAGTTTTGGTTCAGCCTCACAGCTCTCATATGGCCACTTTTGGTCACAGCATGTAGCAGTTTCTGTGCCTGCTGGTAGCAGACAGGTAGCAACCAGCTGAAAGTGGAATATTCTATATTGAACTTTGTCAGCTTTAAAGACTTAACATTTTAACCACAAGCATCATGCCTAGCCAAAGAGATTTTAGCAATCCAAAACATTTTTATATTGATGGCTTAGAAGTGAACTAGATAGTCTTATTAAATGATTGTATCACCCTTTTAAATAAGCAATTTATTTCAGCTTAAATACATAATTGATAAAGAGTAATTTATTAAAATGTGGTATCAGTTTTGCTTCTTCTGCCTGTTAGGTGTTTTGTCAATGAGAACCCTCTGACACTATTGTCGGAGTCCGTAGAATTCAGTATATGAATGGAGATGATTTTTAGACACATGGAACATTCCCTGTCACAGTGGTGACAGTATGAGAGCACGATACCAGCAGTTCTGTCATGAACATTTTAACTTTGGGAGAGATTGGAGTTGATGTGGAACTGAGCCTGTGTGAGTGAAACCCTTTTGAACACCAGCAAATGAAAATTTTCCCTTGTTCCTGTCGGGGGGGAGACAGTGACTCCAGTGAAGAGAAAACTGAATGAAACAAAGTGATTGTTCCAGGTTTCTGTGTGACAGTTTTAGCCTTTATGAAGACCCACAGCTCCCAATCACTGTCAATTATGATTTCGTATTTTTCTGCTATGTAGTCATTTTATATGACTGTCCTGATTACACCCCTCGCTGTAAGTTTCTAGCTGTATTTCTAAGTGAATATTAACTTTTTAAATGTTTTTTGTGTGTGTGTTTGGATCAAAATGAATCTTTTGTATTGTAATCAGCTGTTTTTTTGCACATACCTCCTCCCAAAACTTTTTATCAATGTTGTCGTTGCTTGTCATCTCATTTTATAATATACTTTGCTGCGGGAGGATGCAGCACACAGCTTATACCAACTGCCTCTCATGACATTTTAAAGTTTGGCTGGTTTTTGTCCTGTGGTACTGCAGTCAGTGCTACACTGCTGACAAGTTGCAGAAAGTGTTTTCTTCAGTTGCTTGCTGTTAAGTTTTGCAGAGATATGGTGTCTGTGTGAATTGGATTCATTACTGACCCAGAATTATTCCCAGAAATGACTAAATTGATGCAGACGAGTGACAAGTTAAAGGAATAATGGAAGTTATCTTTTCCAGCATGCAACCATCCCCAGGGCAGAGGGCATTGAATGGTTTGATTGATGAGTATGAAATTGATGTGAATTATATGCAACAGTATGTCCTCTACGCTCGTCAGACCCTGTTGAGCATCTATGGGACGCAACGTGGTATTTACAAATTCAAATTTTTACGTCTGTACAGCTGTGAGTTTCACCATTTCCCTGACTGCGTGGAATGCACATGCTAACTGTACACATGTGAACCATCAACATATATATCTTAAAGCAGTATAGGGCACAAAGCCCATTGCCTCCATGTAGCAGACGGGAATGGGCCAAACTAAAAAAATCTAAGTTAACGTCAAATACATTTTCCCTAAAGACAGTTTCTGTTTGAGATAGTTATTATCCCACTGACGTATGTTCAAGTGATAACTTGTCCATCATGCTGTCCATGGCTGTAATTTCGCCAATTATAGCACTTTTGGATAGTGGTGCTGAACTGAGCCGCAAGTAGCTGTCACCATTAAAGCCATGCTGGCATGGTAGGAATGTTTTTTCACAGCAAAGCAGTTATTTGCTTTAATCATGTGTTAGGAACATCGTTTGGATTCTGTTTATTCCACACACTTGAGGAATCTATGACAAGGAATACAAAAGCTCTAGTTATACTGTCTGGGTCCTCAGCTGCATGGATCCGTGTGATGTTACTGTTGTCATCTGCAGACGTCTGCACAGCCATCTGTGTGGACAAGATGTATTAACAGAACCGTATGTCTGTTTGGGAGTATATCAGAGCCTTAAAAACTCCTTTAATTTGTCACTAATCACCTGCACAAGTTTCTAGGACAGCAGCTGAACCCCTTCTCAAACCCAGAGCGACTCTTTGATTCCCCCACAGATACAGTATTATGGACCGTCTTAATCACTATCCTCATTTTATGGATGACATGGTGGGGATTACCCGTACAGGTAGTCATACCCTATTGCTGAGGTGTAATAAGCCAAACTTTCTCATGTCATGATGTCCATTTAATGCTCATAACTGACTAATGATACCAAAGCTTCATGTACTCACCTGAGCTGTGTGGCTGTGGTTTTTAATCTGTGTGGGAAAATGTCTACTGTGTGTATTGCTGGATTGTTAATGCATTACAATAAAGGCTGTCTGATTTCAGTAAGGGCAACAATCGGTGTGTGGCATTTTTACTCTCTGTGCCTTTTTTCTGGAAGTGGGATTGCAACAAGGTGTGGATCTTCTATCCCAGGAGTACCAGAGCCCACGGGGGTTCAGGGTTAAACTGCATAATTCTTTTAGATTCTCCAAGCTACCCGATAAATATCTCTCTAGGTCCACCCATGGAGCCATCTTTAGCTGTGTGTAGCTGCCTCCGCCAACACTGGCTCCCCCTTTTTGATTCTGTCATAAACCAAGCTCACAACCTCGCCTAGCTAGTTAGCCAGCTAGGTAATGTTAGATTTTGTGTCTGTGCACTGTGAATATTAACATAAGCTGCAAGAGGTGCCAACATTACTAATCATTAAAATTAGAGTCCGTTTCTTAAAATATAATGACGTAAGTGTTAAGAAAAACTGTCACATAAGTGAAAGCTTGATGTAGGGAAACTGACACATACCACACACACTCCCAAGTAATGAGTTTTTTTTATTAGTTGTCATCCATGCAGCATCATCAGAGAATAACAGATTCATCACCATCGTCTTTGTTCATATGACATTCAACAGCACAATTTGATTTCAACATCACACTACAACATACAAAATATGTGAATCATACTATGCATTTGAACAATAAATAAAAGATATTATTAGTAAGGTCTAGTTCCCTCATCAACTCACAGCTGAGTCAGGGTAATTTCATTCTCTTCAAGCACCTGGCACAGGGTTTCTCCAATATCACATCATATTTAACAGCAGCATCTCGCGCCTGTGTAAATGTGTGACATCACTGAGAGGACGGAGCTTTTCAGCAGAGTGAAAAGTTCCTCTGTGGCTGTTTAGTAGTTACAGATGCATTTATTCTGGCAGCTAGCCATGGTAGTCCCAGATTCACTGTGTGGCTGTTGGGTTTGTGGTTGAATGCTTTATAATAGCACAGTATCAAGTGACATGATAAAGTGAGGCCCTGTCTTAAAGGGCTTCATTAGTTCAGCTGATACTGAGTGCTCCTGCAGTGCATAGTCACAAATTAGTTTGTTCAATCAAATTAAAACAGCACAGGAAACCTTAGGCTATATACTATTACAGCAGAGGAACACTGCTGTACAGTATTTCAGTACACTACATGCCACACTAACCCCATTCACACACATTCATACACTGATGGCAGTGGCTGCCATGCAAGGTGCCAACTGCTCACCAGAATGGAAACTAATTCATACACACTCAGCACAGCATCCGGATCAATTTGGGGATCAGTGTCTTGCCCGAAGACACTTCAGCATGCAGCGAGAGGAGCCATGGATAATCGCCAACCTTCCGATTAGATGAAGTAATGTAGGGTATAGAAAACATTAGGGTTGACTGTTTTTATTTTGTTTAAGCCTGTATAATGCTAATTTCTCACTGATCAAGCATAATGGTAAAGCCAGCAGCGTTGGTTGCGAAAGCAAACAAATCTTTCCATGCGCTGTTAAATAATCTATTCTCTAAGACTTCTGGTTTTTGATTTGGAATCCAAAGCTAGACTTGGAAAAGGCGCCAGGTCAGAATGCAACGTCTGACACCTATTTTAGTTGATGAAATGTTAAAATATGGTGTGCAATGGCAACCCATTTCTACAATTGTTAAGTTGTTAAGAATATCAAGAATCACTTTAGGCCAACAACAATGATAAATTAAAATGTTAATTAAAACTTTTTAAAAAAAAAGTTCATTTCCATATCTTTTTTTGTCAAGGCCACAGGGAGCCACTGGAGAGGAGCAAAGAGCCACATCGGGCCACTGCCTTCTGTATCTAGCACAGCAAAGAAGAACAGCATAGCAGAGTTTGACATTTTAGGAATTGGGACAAGAAGGTCAATATTACTCTCATAATTGTGTTAATTACAGAGCTGGATCCCAGGAGGTGATAGCTTAGGTTAAAAAAAAACAAACCCAACATACTTGATACTTGAATTACTTTTCCACTAGCATTTCTGCAGGAAGACTGAAGCAGTGAACCACAGAGTGCTACGGTCAGAAAAAATAGGAGCAGGAGTACAGTTTCAATAACTAGCTGCAGTGAAGGGGGAAACCCCTAACCACTTTGATTACTAATTATCTCAGAAGTGAGACGGATGTGACAGTGGGCAGGGGTACCACACACAGCCAACACTAGCCCGGCGTTAACTGCAATGCGTAGAGTACTATGGTGAAGAGGGAGGGAGAGAGTCTCTTGATTTAACAGCCAATCTACATTCCAACCCTCACCTCTTGTTGGTCATGAGCTTTAAGTAGTTACAAATAATGAGAAAGTAGGTACAAGTATGTCCAACCTGGAGGACACCTGTGGGGAGGACCCAAAACACACTGGAGTGATCTGGCCGAGGACACCCTGAGGTCCCCCTGAAGGAAAAGCTGAAGAATGTTGTCACAGGAAGGATGTCCTACCTTGCTTAATCTTCAGCTAACGCAACCCGAACCCAGCATATACCTCAGCTTCCTCCTTTATAAGGCAAAACCATGACCACATTACTAAGCCACTAATCAGCAGACTAACTACAAACAATACATTTAATGCGTATTTTCATTCAAATTAACAAAATAAAATGCAAAACAATTCCAAAAACATTCTACTCCCATAACAAACTGCTGGAAGAACGGGAGCAAAGCAGAGAAAAGGAAGGAAAGCAGGACTGTCAGTACTGACAGTACGAGAGTGTACAAGGATTAGACTGATGTAAGGCCAACGTTTCTCTGTCAATCAGTCTGCTGATATGAGATATATGATCTAGGTTGTCTAATCTAAGATACTTGAACTTTGCGTATAGGCTGCTACCAAGTACCAATCCAAAACGTGTAAAAGAAAAACCAACCCATATAGATCCTCATATATGATTGCTATCATTGCTGTATGGTTAAACCCTTTGTCAATCGTAGGGCGGGTCATGACTTCACTATCCTGGGGAAAAAAATGGTGAATGGGACACTGCTGGGAAGTAACAGCAATAAATTATATAATATCAGATCGGTTCACAGATGCGTACCCGCCAATACCCAATACTGCATTTTAGGCAGTATCGGAGGAATTTACGACTTTAGCTTCTTTTGTTTGCCCTACTGATAAGTGTAGAATTCTCGAGAAAAACACTGAGTACCTGTGATTTTATTATCCATTTATGATTCTAATGGGTACCAGCATCAAATATGGACTGTTGCTTACAGTAGATGTAAATGTATGTAAAGATACCTGAACTGGCCTTCGAACCTCATGTGAGTCAAACCCTAATAAAACTCTCATACAACACACACGTTCAATTACACATAGCAAACACAACTTTTACAAACAGTATTCTGTCTCTCAGATGGTAGAACAAAAACAAATCAGTCTTCCACATGATTACTCCAAATCACATATTATCACATATCATTAAAGTCTTCATCTGAAGAGAGAGAGGGAATAGAAGTGGGAGTAAGGAGAGAGATCATCAGTTCAGTTCCAAAATTATCTGAGCTAAGGGTCTGAATCGTGTCTGAATGGCTCAGTATGTAGACTTTTAGCTGAAAATAATGTGTCAGCATAAACAAAACTACTTTTATGCCATTTTTCTCAATAAGGGTGTGGATATTCACACTGAGATAAGTCTTGAGCAGCCGTGGCTATTTAAGCTATGCATTGGTTATGATGTGCTGGAGGCATTCACACAAACCATAACATGAGCCAGCAGGTCTTCATCTACCGCCCTGTCTACACGTGTGGACTCAAAGTACCAGACAGTCTCTTATGAACCTGAAACTTGCTTGTGTTTAGTGTTAAAGGGGAATTCCACCAATTGTGTGTGTGTTTCTAGGTGTAACTACATACAGTCATGGACGAAAGTATTGGCACCCCTGGAACTTTTCCAGAAAATGCACCATTTTTCCCAGAAAAGTGTTGCAGTTACAAATGTTTTGGTATACACATGTTTATTTCCTTTAAGTGCATTGGGACAGAAGAAAAAAGCCAAATTTGACATCATTTTACACAAAACTCAAAAATTGGGTCAGACAAAATCATTGGCACCCTCAACTTAATATTTGGTTGCACACCATTTGGAGAAAATAACTGAAACCAATCGCTTCATATAACCATCAACACGTTTCCTACACCTCTCAACTGGAATTTTGGACCACTCTTTTGCAAACTGCTCCAGGTCTGTCAAATTTGAAGGGTGCCTTCTTGCAACAGCAATTTTGAGATCTTTCCATAGGTGTTCTATGGGATTTAGATCCGGACTCATTGCTGGCCACTTCAGAATTCTCCAGCGCTTTGCCTCCAACCATTTCTGGGTGCTTTGTGAGGTATGTTTTGGGTCATTGTCCTGCTGGAACACCCATGACCTCTGACGCAGACCTAGCTTTCTGACACTAGGCCCTACATTACGGGCCAAAATCTTTTGATAGTCTCCAGATTTCATGATTCCTTGCACACAATCAATGCACCCAGTGCCAGAGGCGGCAAAACAACCCCAAAACATCTTTGAACCTCCACCATATTTGACTGTAGGTACAGTGTTCTTTTCTTTGTAGACCTCATTCTGTTTTCTGTAAACAGTAGAATGAAGTGCTTTGCTAAGAAGCTCTACCTTAGTCTCATCTGTCCACAAAACATTCTCCCAGATATTTTTCCACATTTTGCTTCTTAAGTCCTCAGACAATTCTCGGCTCTTATTTCTCTTCTCCATGCTTGGTGTGGCACACACAGGCACACAATACAAAGGTTGAGTCAACTTTTATACACTCTAACTGGCTTCAGTTTCGATTTCTATATTCCTAGCACAGTTACTTGCCACAGGTGAGTTTAAACACTTGCTTGAAATGAAATTATTTAGCCACAGTTTTAATAGGGTGCCAAAGATTTTGTCCAGTCGAACATTTGTAATTGCAACACTTTTCTGGGAGAAATGGTGCATTTTCTGGAAAAGTTCCAGGAGTGCCAATACTTTCGTCCATGACTGTATGTGGAAAAAAGTTGTGTAAAGCCTGTAGTTTCTCCAGAGGGAGTTGCATGAAGTTGGGGCTGAAGACCAAAAGAGGTCTGGGGGTGTGTGGAGTTACAGAGAAGTGAGCTTAACACAACCAAGTCTCAGACTAAATGGCTGTCGAGTTGCATTATGGGTACGGTTTTGACTTTTTTGTCAATTGTGAGTCTGACAATGTTATTGCAGTGAAATGCTAAATCTGTGGAGTACTCTTTTAAGCATGAACATTATACACTCAGTCCTGATTCAGGCAGTTTTCTCCTGTCGCCACAACAGTAGGCAATTTCATGTAGTTTTTTGGTGTCTCATTAGAATATCATTTTGTATTGGGAAACAGTTGACTGGCTTTTCCCACAATTTTTGGTAGTACTTCTGTTTTCCCAACGATGGCAGCCTGTTTTAGTCCTTATATGTGAACAGCTTAGTTTTCTGGTTCTCTGGTTGTCAAAACACAAACAACTGGTTCGAGATTAGCCACCAACTCCAAACCAGCCCTCAAACTGCCTTGGTGGAAATGGGGTGCCAGTGGTTTGCCAGATGTTGAGTTTATCAGTGTAGAGCAATACAAAGCTTTGGTTTAACAGGGGGTGGTCACAGGTTGACCATGGTCAGCTATGCTACCAAGCAGAATCACAAGGCAACAGTAATAATAGTTATGCCCTGCTGTGAGGCCACAGTGGAAACACATGCTCATGACTTGGCACATTGTGTTAAGGAAGGCTATGGTGGGCCCTTGGTAAAACAGCATTACATGCCCTTTCTGATAAATGACAATTACAATTGAGATGTGACTCCCTTTCACTCAATGAATGTGTCGGTCTTCATGGCAACGCTGCATTCACGTCCTATGAGAATGATAATCAAAACAACCTGCCAGTTATTCACATGTAGTTTTCTCAGTAGCTTCTCAGAAATGATGAAAGTCATTTACTCAATTAGCTTTATTTAAAAAGAAAACATATTTTTTTTTTACAGTTGTCCACATGTCAGCATTAGTTTCCATCCTAATGCTTACTCTTACTAAGAAATGCCTATTTTAGTATTTATGAGCTCAAAGTTAAGGTAAACACTTGAGTGAGTGAGTGAGTGTTTTATAAATGAAAATGTGGATCTATCATGTTTTGCATAGGTCGTGAACGCAGCACAAAGTCCTGTTTGCAGCCAGTTCTGCATATTATTATTGTGCCAGTAAGGAAATACACAGTTCAATGCGAGTCCATGAGTGTACAAATGCCTCAAAGTGTGCGATAGTGTGTGCGTGCATATGCCATGCATTCAGACTGCAAGCAACACAGTTTTATTTCCTGTCGATAGCCAATCATATGTCTTCACTGGATGAGATGTTGACATCCATTCAAAGTTTCACAGTTGTTACTGCTACAGATTCAATGCTCGCTCAGTTCAGTTGAAGCTGCATTAATTCATTGTTTTTTTTTTAATTTAACATTAAATCAAATGTCAAATAATGTGAGGGGAGGCTGATGTAGCCTCTTTACGATCATTGTTTTGGTTATACAGCACATACGGTTCAGTGTGTACACTCACATCATGTCTAACTGTGGGGAGCTATTTTCAGCTAAAAACTGTACACTACCTCTCCAGTACCAAACAGCAGACAGGACAGGAGTCAGTGGAGACCAGAAACAGCTCAAAATGAATCAGCGTTTCTCAAATGACGGTATGTGTACCCCTAGGGACTACTGCAGGGGGAAAATATCAGTCGTAACTGAGTTCTATAAACAACGTTTTATATTGAATATTTCCATTACTCAATGCAATTGTTAACTGCAGTAAACCGCCTTTCCTCCCTGTTGAGAATGAATTACAAAGATCTTCAGTGAAGCACAAGTTCATGCTTTCTCTTGTGGAAAAAGGGAAAGTTATCAAAAAGACGCAGTTCAATGCAACTTCAATGCCACCTTAGTGTTATTGCATGATGACAAAAAAAATGGTTTGCCATGAGTTTAGTGATGGATTCTACACATTTGAAATGTGTGTTTGAAAAGTTTGACTCTATACAGGAATTTCTTTATCTACCAAAAATGTTTTGCGTTGCTCAGGGGGCACATAATAATAAATAAAAGTAGTCCACTGTTTGCTAACATGCTAGCCATAACAGATTTACAAGTTGATAATGTATGTGCGCTGTCTCTATCAACTGGTTCTGGAGTTCTTTAGTCCCCTAGTGAACAGAAATAAATTAATGCAGCTTTAAAAGAACCACACCAGGGTTTTCACATGCTTAAATTAACTCAACATCCAACAGTGCTTCACATTTATGACTGTGGCTTCCATTTGTCATTCATTACTATAAGATCTGAATCTAAAATCTTACTTTGCACACCATGCTTGATATGTCACTTATACAGTTCAAATCAGTATGCCTCTACAACTGCAATGTCACATAATGTGATTCAGTGTGTAACTCAAGCAAGTCATTAATAATTTTGTTAACACACAACTACTACTTACTTTAAAATGAATTAATTCATAATCATACTTATGATTCTCAATGAAACCAGTCAGTTACGTTCCTTCATAATTTAAAGGATTTAATTCCAATATGCAACAGTCCTGGATAAATGTATAACAATATTCTAATTTTGGGAGTCTTGCAGAAAACATCAGAAAACATGACTGAAGTTCAGGTTGTTTGAGCTACAAGCATACAATTCTCACAATTCCGAAGCTGGAACCAATGAACGTTAAAAAACCTTATATGATTCATTGAAAAATAGCAAAATAGTACATTCTGTTTCTGTTGATTAACTAATAGATTAAACAATTAATTGTTTCGGATCTACATGCAAGTTTTAAGTGTCTAGAGAAGTGAAAAAACATTAAAATTTCTAAGAAACTTGACTGTTGGAAAGCAATCAGTGGAACTTGTAAGAAGGCTAAAACAGGTGATAAATAGGTGAAAACACTGGTACACTCTTTTCATTAGAGAGCATTATGAAAGACATCACCTAAATGGCAAGCATCCAATGCCTGTTGCAAACCTTGGCGTCGACTTTTGAGAATTTATCTAGTTGCTCGCAGTGTAAACAAACAATAACTGGATGTGTCTTCCAGGTCTATCACCCGTGTGTGCTTCAGCCTTCATTCCCATTAAGCTCAGGTCTCAGTTCATGCCATCAGTATGTGTGTATATTGCTGTTGTTGCACAAAAACACCAATCTGCAAGAAAATCAGCTTACTCTCATTGGCAGCCATGTCATGTCAAAGACCTGCTCATAATAAATCACTACACACACAAATGATCATTGAAGCCTTTAATTCAAGTATGCTAAAAGAAATAAGAAATGCAGCAATGTGTTTTTTCTTCAACAGCAATGTACACACTGTACATGATCCTGCTGTGTGTGTGTGTGTGTGTGTGTGTGTGTGTGTGTGTGTGTGTGTGTGTGTGTGTTAGACCAATATCTGACGTTAAAAGACATCAGTTGTTCATTCACAAATTCTACATTTATTAATTTACCCTCATGTCAAATGAGACAGCATAGTTTGTATGTCAGTGTAACATCAAGTCACCGGTTGGTGATGCTTCATTTTTACAGAACAACAGAGGCTGCTGGGAACATGTTCTGACAGAGAACCAAAACACAGAAAATATCCATAAATGTAGCATATATTAAGTGTTCTGAAACTGTAACTATAGTTACATGATTATCTCTTATTATTATTATTATTATCTTCTTGGAAGAACACTGATTTAAAGACTAGACACTAATCATGTCAGATTTTAAACAAAGGCAAATGTTAAAACAGAAATAGGCAACCTCAGCTGTTTCAGAAAATGGTGATTTTTTTTTCTTCCTTTCCTAAAGAGAGACAAAGGAAACAGAATATCAAAGTTCTAGTTCTGTTGCAGCAAGTAAAAAAAAAAAAAAAAGGTAATACAAAATCACATTTACATCTGTAATAACACAAATTACAAAACATGTAATAATAAGACTATATAAAAGGATAGGTATGTAGGATTTAGTGGTAGTTGTGGCTGTGAAACTCCCCAAAACACAAACACAAAATGCCCTGTCTAAGGGCAGTGTTTGGTTTGTGGGTTTCTGGGCTACTGTACTATGGCGGTATGCTCCCTCTGTAGATAAAAACTTCTCATTCAAAGGTGACAAAAATGCAATTATTCTTATTTTCAGGTGATTATACACAAATGAAAACATACCTATGGATTTCTGACAATAGATCTTACTAAATGTTACACACTCGATCATTAATATTGTTGCTTATTGAATATTTACTAAATTAAATAGTCAACTAATTAACATTTTCCACTAATCAGTCTCTAAAGTCATTGGCTGGTTGCCCTACAGTGAAGCATACAAGTCGTCCATTGTTTTCCACTCTGATCATATACACACACCTTTCTGCTTATAATACAATCATTTCTCTTTAGCTTTTAAAATGAAATAATCATAAGCTGGCTACTCTCCAGACATTTCTGACAAAGAGCAAGATATTATGGAAATATTTGACTTATGGATAAAAAGCACTATCAGCTTCAGAACACTTAAATGCTGCTGCCTGTTGTTCAGAGTTATTTAATTGCTATTTCCAGACACTATGCAAAATACATTTAATTTGATTAACATCAACATCCAGCTACTCACTATTAACTATATCTCATAGTCAGTAGCCATTTTAAGACTTAAGTGATATGATAATACAGAGGAAAACCATGAGATGTGGTTGAAAGCTGGTAAGTGGACCTTGAGTTAAGAATGATTTTGTCAAACTTTTTAAGGCCAAGAATGGATATTGTTTTTGTTGAAGGCTGATTCAGAGCTCACTGACATACAACCTCACATCACTGATGTTCCAACTGACATTATTTAGGGGTGAACAAGCCATATTGGTTGAACCCCATTGCCTGTGTGTGTGTGTGTGTGTGTGTGTGTGAGTGTGTGAGAGAGAGAGAGAGAGAGAGAGAGAGAGAGAGAGAGATCTCTTATCACAGTTTATCCCTGTCCAGTAGCTCCTGTAGTTCATTCTGGATGTCCTCTGGCAGCTCCAAAGGAGGCAGGTCGTCCAGACACAGATCTTCCTGAGCTGGCATCTCCAGTGGTGGCAGCTGAGGAATTGCAATCTCCTTCCCCTTCCCGGTGCTTTTTCTCTCCTGCCCACCTGCTTGTGGGAGCACCCAGAGCTCCGAACGCTCAACAAAGTCTGCTGCCTCAGCCGCTTCGGAGTGAAGCCGGGTGTTTTCAGTTTGTAGCCTCTTGTTGTCGGCCACCAGCCGCTGGTTTTCATTCATCAAGTGGTCGACCAGGCGCCGCAGGTCCTCGATGGTGGTTTGCTGTTCTTCCAGGCGAGTTTTGTCGTCTTTGGTGGTCTTAGATCCGGGGCATGGTGGAGTCAAAGGGTGGCAGCCTCCAGTCTGCCGTGTCTGAAGTTGGTAGAGCAAGGTGTCGTACTCCCTCTCCCTGATTCCTCCACACTCTGCAGCTGGCAGGCCTGTGGAACCATGTGGCTGGAACTGGCCTGTGGACTGGGTTTGGGTAAGGAGGGCTGGGCTGATGGAGGGCTGCACCAGGCCAGGTTGGGCCTTTGTTGCCTCACGACGAGCCTCTCTCTTCCAGCGCTCTTGGATCAGTCGCTGCTGTTTGATATGACTGTCCCTCTGCAGCTCCATTGACAGACGAGCCTACAGACACAGAGTATCAACACCAGCCACAGCACTCACAATACACTGACATATCAAAGGGATACAAAGCAATCCCTCGATGGCTGTCAGTATGCAGCCTTGTCTGTGAAGAGTTAGTAAATACGTAGGGATCAGGGCTCAGTGTTTCCTTCAGTTTCCCACAAAGCTATAATGTGTAACATTTCCTCATTAAAATGTCTATAAACACTAGACCTATGTTCCATGTTTCCAACAGTGTTCGTACAGTTTTTATTCACAGTTAGCCTGTCAATGGTGTCATATCCCCTCTGTGTCTGCGTCAGCTTTGTGGTTGTCGGCCAAAAGCTGTCATACATTGACTTTTTTTCCAGTTTGAAGTTAAATTTTTACAATCCAAAAACACGAATGACAAACAGATAGAGACCCCAAAGCAGCACAATTTACATATTGAATATAGTTTACTAATTTGTTTCAGTAACTTGCATTTCTTTACTGTACTCTGTGGCCTAAACAGCTGAAGTACTATCAAGTACTCAATCAAGTACCAAATTTATTTAGCCAAAAAATCACAAACTCAATACTCAAACTCTATACTTGTTACTGCAGGTGCAATAAACCCCTCACAAGTAAAAAGCCAACATGAGTTCATTTTATAAGGAGTTCGGTCTAGACCTGCTCTATTTGAAAAATGTCCTGAGATAACTTTGTTATGAATTGGCGCTATACAAATAACATTTAATTGAGTAATGCATCGTAATGCATCACAACGCCTGTTCACCTATCATACATTGGCAGAAAAGCAATGTTTCCAACCGCTTTCACCACCAGTTTGTTTTACAAAGCCACAGCCACGTCTTGACTTCAGTCTAACAGTCAACTGTTATGAAGAAGCTAAAACATAAGTCAACTGTTTAGCCTAATTTGCTACACGTATAATTCTTGTAGACTTACTCAATGAGAGGCAGCACCCTCTCCTTTTTATTTAGATTTGTTTACATTGAGTTTATATGGTGACAATTCTGATGTAAACATTGTGTTTGCTGTTCTAGAAACAATATTATATTATAATACAATACAAATAATATTGAATCTGATAAGGGGTATTTTGTAAGAGTACTGATAAAACCTACCCATCCGTACAAACAGGGACAGTGTTCCGTCCCCAATCAGTTTCAGAAATGAAAAGGGACATTAATTAAAAGGCACTGGTTCTGGCTCTGTATTTACTTGTTGATTTTATCCTTTTTGTATTGAATGCATGTTTCCATTTTTTACAAGCTTCTCAATCTTCCAAGAGGCTGGTGGTCTGCGGTTTCCAGGTCTGCTGTAGCTCTCTGTTGTCAGGATGTCACTGGTTGTGCCCCTTTCAGAGTGTTATATTACATATAATATATTTCAATATTATTACTGATGCTTCAGGATGGAAGCAGTATTTTAACGTCACAACTGGTCAAGATAACTATCACTAGTTTTTTTTAGTGCAAGGTCAGGATCATATGTTTTACATGTAAAATCTTAATCTAGTACTATCAAACAAATGTACTGAGTAAAAGGTTCTATCTACCTACGTATCTATCTATAAGTACAGTACATTTTTTTGTAAAGAAACAGTACTTCTACTTGAGTACAGTTTTTGGCTACTAGGTTCTGTTTACTCTGCCACTGTATCATGGCCCCCCACAAAAAGCAAGATATTCTGCTTCCTGGATAGATTTGAAAGAGAATAACTGGACTCTGTCATTCCATTACACACATCCGCTTAATGGGACTGAGCCTTTACAGGCCAATCTGTTAACGGAAACAGAGGTAATTTTCTGTGACTTAAGCAGGGTGATAATGTATACATATATTCTGGCTTTGATATTACTTAAATATGTTTACTTTACTTATATCTCTCTCTCTCTCTCTCTGATACATGGATGGTTGAGAACAGAAGAGTTGCACTAGTTCTCACACACACACACACACACACACACACACACACACACACACACACACACACACACACACACACACACACACACACACACACACACACACACACGGTCTCACCTGCTCACACTCTGTTGTCTTCATTGCATCTGTCAAAAGATCTGGGAGAGAGACAGAGACAGACAGTTGAGCAACACAGAGGAGGACAAGAACTTTGCCTCCACAAACTTTCGTTATCAGTGCAAACAGAAGCTGCAGTTTTTTCAAAACTTGGGCAAAACTTAAATAAAGTCACCATGTTTAATATTTGGTTGCAAAGTTATAACCTATAGCTAAACTATACACAACCTATAGTTAAATGTATGCTCAGCTGGAATGAGGAGATGTGACTTTGACCTCAGAGTTACTGTTTCACTCCAAAAACAAAACAATGAAAATCTTGATATGATTATGTGTCAAATTTATTCTAAGTCTGTATGAGTCAGCCATACTTGTTTAAGAGCAACTATCCTCAAAGGTGGGGCAAGTGTCACAGACAAAGTGCCAGTGTTTCACAACCTACCTGCTGCTTTGCCATGGCAGAAGATGGCCTCTTCATACTTTCCAGATGCTAGCAAATGGTCTGCCTTCCTGCATTGCTGATGAGCCTGAGGAGATGCAGACACATGGCGTCAGTGACTGGCCAAATTGTTTAAAGAAGGTAGAGCGTACTAGGGCTGACCCACCATGGTAATCAATGTCTAAGTATTTTAATGCGTTGATCCCATGGGTGTCTCCCATATTGTTGTTACTTGGGCAAGTCTGCCCAAGTATATAATGGCCGGCACCATTCAATTCAATTCAATTCAATTTTATTTGTATAGCGCAAATTCATAACAGAAGTTATCTCAGGACACTTTTCAAATAGAGCAGGTCTAGACCGAACTCTTTATAACATTATTTACAGAGACCCAACAGTACCACCATGAGCAAGACCTTGGCAACGGGGGCAAGGAAAAACTGCCTTTTAAGAGACAGAAACCTAGGACAGATCCTTCGGCTCTAGGTGAGTGGTCGTCTGTCTCGACCAGTTGGGGTGAGGAAGAGAGAGAGAGAGAGAGAGAGAGAGAGAGAGAGAGAGAGAGAGAGAGAGAGAGAGAGAGAGAGAGAGAGAGAGAGAGAGAGAGCAGAGACAGATCCTAACCAAGTACAGGCTCAGTGACCACAAATTGGCAATCGAAACAGGAAGACACAAACAATCATGGCAACCAAAAGAAAACAATCTGTGGTCACTGTTCGACAGGTGAGGTTGAGACAGAGATGCACTTTCTTTACTCCTCGGAGAAGGAGAGCGGGCACACCTTGCTGCCCAGTATGTATTAACATGCCACAACCTGAGGGACAGTGAGTGATCGAGGCACACGCACACACACACACCCACACACAGTATATAACTAATATAATGTTCATATAATAATAATGTATATATCTTTGATTTATTGTATTGTATTTGAATACTTTGCTTTGGCAATATTGTTTTTAAAAAAAACTTTCATGCCAATAAAGCCCACTTTGAATTTTAATTGAATTTGAGATTTGAGAGAGAGAGAGAGAGAGAGAGAGAGAGAGAGAGAGAGAGAGAGAGAGAGCACAGCAACAACAGTAGCAACAACTACACTAATAATAATATTCACTAATAGTAAGAGCGCCACCTAGTGGTGAAATTTATTACACTTTAATGTATTTCTCCCAGCAGATTGAACACATCTAGCTGAAATTTGGTCAGAAGAGCCTTAGAATGTTGACAATGACATCTTACGAATCTTATGAATTTTTATAGAACTGTGTTGCTGTAGCGACACGGCGAGCATCACCTTGTTGTTTTAACATTTGATCGCATTTTGCGGGGGCTAAACAGGCTCAACACCTCATGAAACTTGGCACGCACATCCCATATGGCAGCATTTTATATTTCATATGGATGTTGCCTCTTTCAAGAAACCACCCCCGGTGTCCTGTTTAGGGGACATGAATGAAAATTGGCAGGCATACATAGCAAGTTAGGACGTACAAAAAAGCCTCTTGGACCCATACCCCAAACCCCACAGGAAGTCGGTCATTTTGATTTTGATTTTCGGCAGCCATTTTGATCTTCATGTTCACTGTCGGCAAACTTTTTGCCTTGTATTTTAACGAACTCCTAGGGAATTTATCGGATCTACTTCAAAATTGGTCAGTACAGTCAAAAAACATTGCTGATTCTGTCCTAGGTTTCTGCCTCTTAAAAGGAAGTTCTCCTTGCCGCCAACGCTAAGGTCTTGCTCATGGTGGTACTGTTGGGTCTCTGTAAATAATGATTGTTTGTGTCTTCCTGTTTCGATTGCCAATTTGTGGTCACTGAGCCTGTACTTGGTTAGGATCTGTCTCTGCTCTCTCTCTCTCTCTCTCTCTCTCTCTCTCTCTCTCTCTCTCTCTCTCTCTTTCCTCACCCCAACTGGTCGAGACAGACGACCACTCACCTAGAGCCGAAGGATCTGTCCTAGGTTTCTGTCTCTTAAAAGGCAGTTTTTCCTTGCCCCCGTTGCCAAGGTCTTGCTCATGGTGGTACTGTTGGGTCTCTGTAAATAATGTTATAAAGAGTTCGGTCTAGACCTGCTCTATTTGAAAAGTGTCCTGAGATAACTTCTGTTATTCGTTGGCACTAAACAAATAAAATGTAATTGAATTGAATTAAAGAGATTAGTGTAGATGCTGTCACCAGCCTCTGATATAACATCAGTTATATCAGAGAGAGTATTTCTTAATTGAAAGAAGAGCAAAGAATGGCACTGAAGGCTTTTTCTCCATAGAAAGGGTGTTTTCTCTACGTTATATGGTTCATATATAAACTTGCAGATGAGGAGCAATGAAGCGGTTTAGGAGGATCATGGGGAACAGCTTACTGATCCACTTTGTTATTTTTCTCTGTATACAGGTTAATAATGATACTCCTAAATACTAACCCCCTTAATTCCTTCAAATCCCCCACCACTCAAATATCTGTGTTTCTTCTTGTTGCTACTGTGTGAAGTTTGATCTTCACTGTGCAGAGTTTGACACTAGAAGGATGTTTTCACATTCATCTGCTGAAAGTGGAAAGTTTCTCTATGCTCATTGAATATCTGATTTTAAGGTGCAGAGCCTACCAGCATGATTTATGACATCACAAAGTCAACCCTGGCCCAGTATGCAACTTCTGATGTAGAAACTTGAAGCCACCAGTGCACATACACTGATAATTGACTTTACAGTGAAGTAGGAGACATCTTGTGTCCAGCAGGAAAACCAAATGAACAACATTTGCATATTCATAGATTCTGGGAGTTTTAATGAGGTAGAAGGAGTAGATCTCTTTTTAAGAATTTCAAGATAGAAATGACATTTTGTGGCACAAAACCTGTCGGGGGGGGGAGTTTAATTATAATGCCCATTACAAAATTACTGTAAATCAAATCAGGCAACTTGTCTTCAGGGTTATGCCACTGCTATGATCCTTAACTGACAACAACAAGAAATTCAAAGATTAAATAATACTAAGGTAGCATTTTGTTATAGTTGTAACTGAGGTTCTTATTGATCCTGGTGGAGCCTCCTGCCATGGTCCTGCTAGACTGCCATTGCCAATACTGTTGTTACTGTGCACCTGTCTGTCTGTCTGTCTGTCTGTCTCTCTCACCCCAACTGGTCGAGACAGACGACCACCCACCTAGAGCCGAAGGGTCTGTCCTAGGTTTCTGCCTTTTAACAGGCAGTTTTTCCTTGCCCTTGTCTCCAAGGTCTTGCTCATGGTCTATTTGAAAAGTGTCCTGAGATAACTTCTGTTATGAATTGGCGCTATACAAATAAAATTGAATTGAATTGAGGTTGGGAACAGTGTAACCATATGGCATTTTATAATAACCTGCTAACAGTAGGTTACTATCAAATAGCCTTGAAAACAAGTTAACTAACGTTAGTAGCTAGAAGTAGTTCGTCCATCGCTGCTAACAATGACGCTTAACATAATATAGCCACAGCAACACAATCACATTTGACAGTACGTTGTTCTAACGTCAAACGTATTGTATTATGTGTAGCATGTCGAAGCTAGCAGACAACAACACGAACAAGGCAATCAGCAGAGCGGTTAGCTGCTAACTTACTACGGGAGCTAGCTAATGTAGCTAACCTATGCAATACCCTAGCTACAGTAACGTTAGCCTGTTATTGCAACATCAAGACCGAAACTTACGAGATTAAGCGGGCTGTCTATGACCTCCATGGAGTCGATTCTTTGATGGCTTACACTACATGAAAGGTGTCTCCGTCCCTCACGGACTGTCATTCGCACAGCGATAAAAAATCGTGAAAAAATAATAATAGTAACGTGTTAAGTACATTTATAGGGAGCACAGTCGCCTCCACAGCCAAAGATGCGTCAACGCGTCGTGGCGTCACAATCGTTCTACAGGATGTTTTGGTCACTTGTTTTACTGCGTCAATTTACCGGAAATAGAAAAGGCTTGAAAGCTATTATTTTGAAAGCCTTAGAATAATAGCATTGAAGTTGAACCAATAACGCGTTTTTATGCACATTTTACACCAGAGCCATATAGATGGCAAAAACACTTTTATCATGTTCAAAACACAATAAATTGTGCCATATTCTGGCAAATTAGCCAGGATTTATGTCTTGGTAGTTAAGTAATGCTTTTATTGTGATACTCTGAACGGAATTGCAATGCTGTCTCATTCGCTGTTTTGTTTTCGTTTGAGGAAGTGAATTTGGTCAGTGGCTTTAAAATTACATACAAATCACAGCATTTTTATTATATTTTACAGAACCTTAACATATATCACATTTACGTTGTGCTTGTTTGGGAGTAGACTGTTCAGCTAACGTTAGCTTGCCTTAGTGAGTGTCCTCTTACGCGTTGTTAAAAACATTCGAGCCAACGTCACTGAACCTATATAACACGTCGCGCCAGCCAGCCGCTGATGAAGAAGAGAGGCCATACGTGTCTGATAGCGTCCAGTATGGTCTCTTTAGTCCTGCTCATGATGGTTCTGTACGGTAGCATTGGCAGCCAGCCGTCGGGCAGCCACAGCCTCAGACATGACTACCAGCTGCTGGGCAGACCCCTGTACAAACTGGATCTGAGCTGGCCCAGGAACCCAGAGCTCTTCACTGGGGAGGTGTTTGGTGTGGCTGTCAACCAGTATGCTGGAGTGGTATATGTGGCACAGAGAGGTAACAGTTAGATTCATCTTAATTCAGCAAGTTAGAGCAGATGTACGTTTTGCTGCGTTTGTGTACCGGAAATCTAGCTGATTATATTAGTAGAATAATGTGTGCTTGCTGTACAAAACCTTTGATTTGATTTAAATAGACCGGAAATTCTGATTAATATTAGTGAATATAAATGTTCTGATGTCTATATATATATATATATATGATGCGATGCATTCAGTATGGTACAGATAGTTTGATTGTATATTCTGTTTCCTCTTCAGCAGCTTGAGGAACAGTTTAGAGAGGAGGAATAAGGCATTGGAATAGGAATATGCTATAGGAATAAAGGAATATGGCTTCTACTGATAAGGCCTCTACTAATAGTTATATCTAAATACTTTTATAACATTTTATTTACCAATGCAGAGATGTTCGAAACAAATGGCACTTTTTTTAATCAGTGCAATTGCATCTTGAACTTTTTAGTTGGTGAATCTTACCATCCCTTGTGTCCAAATTTTGAAAATATTACAAATGCCACAAAAAGTACAAAATCTGCATATAGCTGTTTGTAAATATCATCCATTAATATCATCAATAAATCCCCCTCCAGCATGCCTTGGTCTTGAGCACTTGAAGCTCGTAGGCATGTGTGTCCCATGTCTGATCATTCCTAACACACACTTAACCCTGGCTTGATGCCTACTTTTTCTAACACCACTTTAGACAGATATTTAGATGACTGTTAGTGTACGTGTTTCACAATTCTCCCACAACTGGTGCTAATGAGTCTATTTTTATTATTTTACCACCGTTAGTAATCAACATTAAGTTGAAGTGTATCACATGTTGGATTCAGACAAGGTGATGACACAGGGGCCTCAAACTGCAGGCCCAGGGGCCATTTCCTGTCCTCCACCCCCCTTCCTCTGGCCTGCGACATGATGTCAAAAATATCTGTCTATGATCCTGTCCGCAAGATTATTGCTATTGCATGTTATTATTTCTAGTTGTTTTATATCAATTTAAACTACGCCTCCATATAGTACAAGCTGATCTAGTACAATTCAAATAAAAACACAATTCTATTTTTGTATTTTGTTTGGTGCAGAATGCTAATTTGCAGAATGGTATTACTGTTTATATTTTTTTGTTTAATATTTATCTTCTCAAATTCTCTTGTTATTCCTCATGGCAACAAACATAAGGATCTAAAAATGAATGAATGCTTTACTTTGAACGAGTGAAAATCAAACCAATATAAAATGTGCTGCCTGGTGTGGTTGCCTTTGCTCTGCTTCTAGGTGACAGTGTGCCCAAGGTGCTTGTGTTCACCACAGATGGAGATTTTCTCATGTCCTGGAACACAACCACCCTGGAGATGCCTCATGGGATATTTTTAGCAGACGCTGCCTCGTCAAACCCCACTGTGTGGATCACAGATGTGGGGAATGGCCCATACGGCCACTGCATCAAACAGTACTCACCATCTGGGAAGCTCCTGCAGGTGATGACTTTGATTTGTCATTAAAAATCCATGGTTCAGGTTCTACTAGCTCGTTTTCCATTTAGGTATTTAGTCTAATATATATAGAATTAGAAAAGCCAACTGAAACCAAACATTGCTTGGTTTTTTTATATTTTCTTGTATTTCTCAGGTGCTTGGTACACCAGGGAAACCAGGCTCTGGGTTGAACCCTCTGCAGTTCGACCAGCCGGCTGAGATCTTTGTCCATGACTCTGGAGAGATATACATCGTAGATGGTGATGGTGGGATGAACAACCGCCTCATCAAGCTGTCCAAAGACCAGGAAGTGTTGTGGATGCATGGAGAGAAAGGCTCAGGCCTGGCTCAGTTCTACATCCCTCACAGCGTGACTGTGGACAGTGCCCAGAGGGTGTGGGTGGCCGACAGGGGCAATAAGAGGATCCAGGTTTTTAATTCCATTACCGGGGACTGGCTGGGGACATGGGGGAGCTGCTTCACTGAGGACGCGCCTTACTCCGTCCGCCTCACCCCAGACAAGAAGTACTTTGTCGTTGTCCAGCTCAACACCAACCAGATTTCCCTCCTGGATGCCCCACCGGTGGGTTTGATTGGCCAGTGCAGAGTGGTCAGTGTGATCCAGCTGGCTGAGGAAATGAAGCCCCACCTGGTAGACCTGGACCTGAAAACAGGGGCCTTGTATGTGGCTGAGATTGGAGCTCAGCAGGCCCAGAAGTTCACTCCCTTCAGTCTGGGTGGGAGTTTCCTGTAGAACCATACTGGGCCTTAACTGAAGAACTGAAATGGCATGATTGACCACAGACAAACAAAATCATATCATAAGCATTACCAAGTATTTAAAAGTGGAACCAAAATGTGCACGGGTTATGTAATTCAGAGACAAATCACAAAACAATTCTCAGTACAGTGAACCTTACTAAAAAGATAAGACGTCTAAGATGTCTGAGGTAGACGTAGAAATAGTATTGTAACACTTTGTTTGAATAGTCTGCCTACAGATAACATTTCACTGTTCTGCACAGATTATCTGTAGAATAAATGTGACAATTCATAAATACCCATACCCTAACAAGATGTTGACTCCAGTGGTGTAATATCAGAAAACAGTGGTTGAATCTCAACTAATAAGCTGATGAAATGTTACAAATTCTCTATAAACTCTCCACATGCGGACTATCCAAATAAAGTGTTACATTTTAAAATAAGCATAATGCCGTCTGGATCCGGTTTTTTTTACAAAATAAGGGACTGTCTGCAAAGTTACAAAATGTTCATACTAAACGCAGTTTCAAAACACAGAAATAGACAGACGGACAGACAGACAGTAACAGCTCATACGCAGTACAACATATTTCTTTTGTTTTCTTACAATATCTCTTAGCAAAGAAAGCAGGATTATTGTTTCTGTGGTGAACACATGGGTAATGATTTTTTGTTTGTTATTTGTGGTTTATGAAGTTGTGTGCCATTTGTATTTTTCTTGACTTTGCACTGCTTGAAAATATAAGAGCTTCTCCGTGGCAGAGCTTTTCCCTTTCTTTACCCCAGACACTTTAAACTCTTTTGTGCTTTTGCCAGTTTATGGCTGTTTTTAAATACAATTGTATGATTACACATGTATACATATGTAAAAGGCTAGAGCTGAACTGTTTTGCACTTGAGACTGACCGATATTATCAGCTGATATTGGCCTGTTGCAGACATATTGGTATTGGTATATATGCTATCCGATATGCACTGATATGACTTTTTTTTTCCTGATATATAATGCAGAAAAAATTCTTGGGGTAATATATTGAGAGTCCACTTTGATTTGTAATGCTGTGGGAAGCAACACAGAGTAAGACTTATTTAACATATTATTTATTAAAGAACATGTAACTTAAAGCTGCATTAGGTAACTTTTTGTCATATTTGCTGAAACTTTCACTATATCCTGAAGTACATGAGACAGATAATCTGTGAAAAAATTATTCCTCTGACTCCTCCTAGTGCTCTTAATGGCATTTTCAATCGTTGAGAGGGCTTGACAAAAAACATCCAATCAGAGCTGAGAAAGATAGAAACCCACCATGTATTCTGGTAGTTTATTTCGGGGACTCTGTGTTGCCACTGTTGCGTCTCTGTAAATAATTTTCTAAGGAAAGCGGTCTAGATCTGCTCTATTTGAAAAGTGTCCTGAGATAACTTTTATTATGAATTAGCGCTATACAAATAAAATTGAATTGAAATTATTTTCTTTACAGTGTACAACCAGTTATTGAGCAATAAGTGACTGAGACTTTTGTTTTCAGGCACTGGTATGCTTGTAACTACAAAGTGTAAAACTAAATGGTTCCACCACTCATCAAGTTCAGTTTACTCATCTCGTGTGAAAATAGAATCTCAGCTTGGGCTCTGCCAGGCAGGGATGTGCTGATGAAAAGATGCCATTGCATCATGGGAAATGTAGAATTCATCCTTTTAGGAGTTTGACCCATTCTAGTGACTAAAAGTCAGAATCTCTCTACTGCTTCAGTTAGGTCCTTTCTGTTTGTAATCTATATATATATCTGTAATATTTTAAATATATCCAGGCAGTGGTTTGTTTTTGCCAAACTGTACTTTTTAGTTGTTCAGAAGTTGTAACCACCACTACCTTATGATTCCAATACTCGGTGTGCAAATAATCTTTATTTACATTGTAAGTATCTTTAACAAAGTTTCCTCATGGTGAATACTTACCTAACTGTCTTAAAGATAGCACGTTATGTTCTCGTGTCATATTTACTTTTAGGACTGTTACCCTAAAATAACTATTTCATGATAATGACTTTATTTTACTATAATAACTAAATTAAGTTGTGATCTGGAGATAGCAGCAATTAAGTAAATCTACAACAAACAATTAACAGACAATTCTTTTTGTCCTAATTGTATCTATATAATGCAGAGGGTGATGCACTGTTTATAAAATGGTTATATTTTCATCATTTTCCATGTGTACAATGAAATGTAGATGCATGCACTTCTTTGCAGACAGTGCATTGCATTATATTGTTTAGCTTAAATTGGTGCAGTGAAATGCATTTTTTTTTGTCTTTAAGTCCATACTTGCTGGGAATCAAAAGGTGGATGATACTTAAAAATAAAATAATTTAATCAGAGCAGTGTGTCTCATTTTCACTATCAAGTTCTACTGTCAGTATCCAATGCTGTAAAAGATACTGTGTCATTTTGTACCCAGTTCTTTCTTATTGTTTGTACAGGCTGATGGCACTTTAACTGCCATCAGCTCCATTTCCATTTCCTAGCCTCTGACTATTAGTATAATTTACAAGAACAGGAAATCCATTCCGCAGTTTGCAGCCAGCTAGCAAAGCTGTGATTCAGAGAGGCGGAAGCTCCCTCGCATCGTACAACACTACGAACGCAATCAAACATTTAAAAAAGCACCACACAAAAGAGCACGAGAATTACTGGGTCAAAATGAGAACCACCACTTGATTGTTAAAGTTGTATTACAGTTCTTACACGATACAGGGCTATATATGAACATTTGAAGCAGTAACATTATCCTTAGAGTGACTTCCTGAGAAGGGCAGTAATACGCCTAGAAGCGTCTAAACTGCCGGAAATCCATATGAAGAAGAAGAAGAGCAGGGGCAGAAAGACAAAAGGAGCTGTCAGGAATCACTTCTGGAGTCATTCCAAAAACAAGGTAAACTCCAGGCAGACAACGTGAAAGCTAAAGGGATTAGTGTGTGTGTGTGTATGTGTGTGTGTGTGTGTGTGTATGTGTGTGTAAGATGTTTACATTTATTGCACTTTTCTTATATTTCAATTATTTGACATTTTGGGAATTTAATAAATATTGACATGACAATAAATTTGAAACCCTTACAGTTGCATATTTGTTTTCAGAATGGGATTTTTCCTGTTAACAGGATTTCCTGTTTTTCTGACTTCCTTTTCTGACCTTTTGGGACATACATGCATACATACGTACATATCATACTTGGCTGTTGAGGAGTTTATTTCAGCCTCATATAAAATCAACAATAATGATAATAATAATATTAAAGCAAACAGAGCTCTGGTATCGGAATAGTATCGGTATCGGCCGATATCCAAATTCAGGTATCGGGATCGGATCGGAAGTGAAAAAATGTGGATCAGTGCATCCCTAGTGTAAAGCTAAAATAGGGTCGACTCTCCCTCTCTTGTCTGTTTCAACCATCGACATAAAAAAGATTTAAGTTGCGTCTATACTTCATCCCACTTTATTAAAATGAAGCCAGAATATCCTGGATACAGCTGCTACAATCTTCTGGTGACAGAATTTAGAGCCAGAGTTTCCCGCCCATTCGTGAGCAGGGCTCAGCTGTCAAAGTGATGTGAAACCCCCTTTTTATAGCTTCAAAGATCAATAATCATTTTATGTACAACGGTCATGTCCTTCATGTCCATCATTATATATGTTGATGGTTTAAACTTGTTACATCTTTACATCTTTTATGTCGTTTACGGCATTTTGTGTCTGTGGCGTGATAAGCAGCGGTCTTGATGATGGGGTCTGCAAGGATGCAAAATAAAAATAATCATAATAACAACAACTGATAATTCCCCCAGATGCATTCATACTAAACTAATGAGCCTGTTGTAAGGAGTAGAAAGTAAAGATATGTGTGTACAAATGTAAGGTTAAATTAAAAAAATGTCAGACAAATAAATACATTACAGACACCTGAAAAAAACGACCTAGGTATTTGTACTGCTACTTCCCAGGTCTGGTGACCCTGGGCCATGCATGCAGATATTCTCTGAACTGATTAAAAACTTGACAAGAGTTTTCCCTTCAAATATGTGCTTTACTGATAAGCACTTGGTACAGTGGTTTGGATGATCTGAAGATTATTATTAATAGTCCTTTCATTTTGGTGGACAGAATGAACAGATTAGATCTACATCATACCACTAGATGGAGCTCAGTTCATACAGTTTATACTTCCTGCCCATGAGCAGAAAAACCTTGATGCTACATCAACTATGTTGTTAAACTTTTTTTGCATAAAAAACATATCAGACAGACATTATTGTTTCACAGCATATTATTTGTATGTGTCTTAATACATGTCTTTAAATAAATACGAGGCTATGAACTCTATACAGCATTTATTTTTCTAGTACCTAACAAACAACAAAACAACTTCTTCACACTTTGTATGGAATTTCTCATAGCAAGAAGCTGGAATTTATCCAGAAATTAATTTTTGCTACAACAAATCACAGACACACACAGCATGGTTTTCTAACTGCGACATCATGTTGTGGTACTTATTTCATTTATTATAAGAACATTTAATTTATTCTTAGTTTGTATCAAATAAAATAACAACATGTACATTTTATTTTTGTGTCATCATCTTAGTTCAGTTTTATCCAAATAATGAATATTTTATAATTCCCACTTAAAGACTGTGTACATTTTGAGGTTAACTTAAGAACATCAGCCCAGCCTAATATCACAGTTTCCAGCTGCCCTGCACCTCTCTGTCCTCACCACTGTCTGATAGGAACTCTGTAGGCGTTCATGCAAACAACAGACAAATGTGAATTGAGAGAAACAGAGGATGACATGCAGCAAAACCATGGGTTCGAATCCAACCCGTGGCTTCTGCAGCAAGGACTCAGCCTTGGTACATGGGGCGGCAGTTCTACCAGGTGAACTGGTATTTTTTATTAAAATTCTTTCAAAAAAATTGTGTTGCGTTTTGTTGCATTGTGTTGTTTCACATGTTCTCATCTTATTAACTTTTTTCCAGCTTGTAATAATGATGACCAATGGCAATTATAATAATAAGATAATTAGAAAATGCATTCTAATTACTTATTATTTAATGGTGATTTATTTTTAATGAATACCCATTAGATAATATTGTATAGGTTCTAGATATGTCTGTGAAATCCTTAGTCTTTATACAGTGCTGTCATGGAGCAGTGTGGTGTGACCAGCAGGGGGTGTCACTTGGCAAGCTCTGGCCCTGAGGACCCTGCTGCGCCCCACGTGCTGTACTCTCTTATATGAACAAAAAGATGACATATGTAATTATCTGTTTAGTTTACTGTGTGTTCTTGATATGTTGTGCTGTTTAATATCACTGGTGCGTTCTGTGATAGTTGTTCAGAAAACTCACTGAAAAATTGTAATTATCTGTGTGTGTGTTTGTGTGTGTGTGTTCCTGCCAAGTTTTGCCACATTTTAACATTTCAGTTATTTTGCAATGTCTTAGTCAGCTTCCACAGTAATCAAGCCAAGATGTTCTGTGTAATTGTAAAATAAACACTGGGGGCCGATAAGATCTCACCACTGCCATTTTCTCAAGAAACTAAACATTACTTACTAAATTGTATTGAATTAACTAATTTTACACATCCAGAAATACCCAAATAACATGTTTCTTCAGGCCTCTAGTGCCTAGGTGCCTCCTTTTGTGTTTCTGGCTCAGGATGCCCTTCCATAAAACATTCCCTCCAGAAAAACGCGATTATGCGATCGCATAATTCAATGCATAATCAGCTAAAGTCCACATATGTATGCGGAGGCGCATTTTTTCAAATACGCCGCACTTTCGCCGCATAAATTGCCGATTTCCGCGCAAAATATGCGGGCTTGCATGATTTCATAATCCCCGCATTTTCGTTGCAAAAAAGTCACATATATCTTAGCAGAAAGTTGAAAAATTTTGCGTTTACTTCACTCAAGAACAGCCATTTTCCCCTGTTGCCATGGGAACGTTATGAAGTTACGTAATTACGTAATCACGCGACGTGAACATCATCGTCGCAGTTATAGTTTTCATTTTCACAGTGGGCTGTGGTAGTTTCATTCAGGAGTTGATGCAGTGGGTTAAATCTTACTAGTTTCAAAAGCCTTACAGTTGTAAGTATATTAGTAGTATGTAAATTTACGTTACAGTAAGAGATTGCACTTTGTGCATTGGAAGCACTTATTTTAACAGAAGATGATTTTGTATAGCTACCTCTGTAAAACAGGAAGCACACATTTTATTTTTTTATATTTTATTTATTTATTTTTAGAGAAGTTGTAGCATATTCCTTTTGTAAGCTACAGAACTTGTTTGACTCATCAATGTTTTGTAAGTTTGAGCCATGTGTTTATTAAGGTCTGAAATAAAACAAGATGAGAACTTAAATATTCCCAGCACTTTCTGTGATGCTTGCTTATCATAGGAAGTAATAAGAAATGACTCTTTACATTAAGGTAGTAGACTAGTGAGAACAGGGTGTTGGGGGAATCACTTTTTTTCTCTTTTTCATCAAACCGCAGTTTTCGCAAGTTCCCACAATTTCATCGCATAAAATTGCATAAATATCCCGCATATTCCATCGCATTTATTAAGAAAACGTGCCGCATGATCAAGGATTTTCGCCCGCAACAATCACAAAAAAACTGATAAGTGATATATCTTATCTTATCTTTGCGCAATTAATAACTGAAACTCTTTATACACAACACTAAAATAGATTTTAAATGAGATTAATAGAGAGTAATAAAGAGTTTTTAAAGAGGGATCAGACTTGTAGTGAAGTGTAATCAGGTGCCTTTCTTGGCTGAATTACCAACTGCACACCACCAGTGGCCCGAAATGTACCTCAGGTTCCCCTCCTTTGCTTTTTGGAAATTTGATTAAATTCAATCTAAATTTGACACAACATAGCTCATCTGGTAGAGCTAGTGACCTATGTACCTACCAAGGCTGGGTCCTTGCTGAAGCAGCCATGGGTTAGAGTCTGACCTGCATGTCATCCCCCTTCTCTCTCCCCCTTTCCTGTCTTTATTGAACTGTCAAAAAGCTCCCCAGATAAAAAAATAATAAATAGACAAAATTTGACACTACAAAATACAGCATCAGCCTACGTGGGTCCAGAATTGTTACCTTAACTTGTGTCAAAATCTAGTTTTAATTATTTTTGTGCATACTCCTGAAGATGTTGTGCTTGACCTATTGGAAACCTGGGGACAGGGAGTGGGAGCACTGGTTGTTGTTGTTTTCAGCTCTGGGAAAATAATAAAATTCCCATGATACGTTGTATGGACTGTACTTCATGGCGACAAGGAGCATACAAAAGACACCGGAGTGGG